TTCCGCATCAGCGCCGCGAGCATTCCGCACGCCCCAAACAAACCGGCCAAAGCTTTGGCCAAGGCGCGCTCCCGCCACCACAACGGCCACACCCATGAGTTCCAAAAATCCACCCGGTGGCTAGGCATCATCCTCGACCAACGATTGTCTTTCTCAGAACACCTCAAGAAAGTAAAGGCGACAGGCGACCTCACCATCAGTCAACTAGATAGGATTGTAAAATCAACTTACGGTCTAAACACAGCCCTGACTAGGAGGCTGGTGGTCTCAATCCTCTACTCCAGAATTCTCTTCGGTAGCATAATATGGTATAACAAGAAAAATGCCAACTCAGTAACAAAGGTGCTCGATGGTCTATATCATCGAGCCTGTAGATTGATTACGGGTTTGTTCCGTCAAACCCCTCTAGTGTTTGTCCGGAAAAGTAGCAATTTGATCACTCCCGCAGAGATTCACCTCCGTAACTCGCACTTCTACATTCTCCGCGCCCTGACTTATCCTTCATCTCATCCTGTTTCTCGAATCCTCCAAACCGAACTGACTGGAAAACAGCCTCCCTTCCCGAGCCCTCTACACCTGCTCATGACTCCTGCTGACCGATATAGCTTCCCAGTAACACAGACGGAGACCATCTACCCAGTCCCAGCCCCCCCATGGATCGAACCAATCTCAGGCATACAGAACCTGTTAGAGAAGCGATCCGAGGCACTCCTTCGCATCCCGAATCAACTACAAGCAGAAGTACGGAATCAGTCCTTAATCATCTTCACTGACGGCTCCTGGGTACCCGATAAAGGCGCCGGAGCTGCTGCAGTGACTCACCCTAAAGGAGAAAGCATCGCAACGGCGATACATCCAGCCGACTCAGTCTCCAACTTTGAGGCGGAGCTAATAGGAATGAAACTCGCTATAACCCTAGCAAAGAAGATCCTTGAGACTGATGTTTCCAACACCTTCACAGATGTAGCAATCTTCAGCGACAATCAGAGCGCTTTGATGCTTTCAGCTGATCCTATCTCCTTGTCTCCAGGCCAGGGCATCTACACTGATAACTTCTTCCGAATGAAGCTTCTCGGCCGATGTATTCGACTGTTCTGGTGCCCCGGGCACGAAGGAATTGCGGCCAACGAAAAAGCAGACTTTTTAGCCAAGAAAGCCGCAATAGGAGAGAAACTGCCGAACGACTGCACTTTTCTATCATCAAATGTGCCGAATAGCCTGGCCAAGCTCAGACAAAACTGCAAGACCCGACTCAGAACTCCGGAGGTATTGTCGGAAGATGACTCACGCCGTTTTGTTTTTTCCAAAGACAGCACAAAGTTCATACAGGCAGTTGACACCCAAGAAAAAGGATTGGCGGCGACGATACTGCAACTTAGAGCTGACACCGCTCCTTTGAACAATTTCCTGTTTAAAATAAAAAATATCCTAGACCCGAGATGCACTGACTGTTTTGCACTAGAAAATGCAGCGCATTTCCTGATGTTTTGCAATAGGTACAAACAAGCTCGAAAGAATTTCAAACGGAAACTACGGCTACTCAAATGCCGAGTAAACCCTAATTCCTTCCGGTCTATCATGGACAATCCAAAAGCGATCGACGAGGTCTCCAACTTCATTCTTGCAACCAACAGATTTCCGAACATCAAGAGATACAACTCACCCAAAGAATCTTCTTAACCTGATTTTCTCTTATGTCTGGATCGATCACTTCTTTCTCCTCTCTTGGTCTCTTCTCTTCTTCTTGTCGGAATTCCTCTTTGCACTATGATAATCTGCTCCTAGACTAAAGATTGTACTTACAGGCAACGGATTAGGAACTCTTATCCTGACTCCCTGAAGACCGACGGGATCCAGGCTATGGGGGGATAGCCTGAGGACCTTTTTTCCTTCCTCAATAGCTTGCTGTGGGTTGTGGGGGCCTCAACGCGCTTTGAGAGAAAATTCAACTGGTGGGATGGGATGATGGGTTAGAGTTTTCCGAACTCCTGAGCTACTTAAAACCCTTCTTTTTTTTTTTCTGGTAGTTTCTGCTCTATCCTTCCCTCTTCTTCATTTCAGGTCTCACCTCTTTCTACGTTATCTTTCTTCCTTTCCTTAGAACAACATATACTCATCTTCTTTCTCTCTACGTCTTCTTTCTTCTTTATTACGTTTTCCTTTTCATTCACCTTTACACACCACATGTGCTCCTATGTCTCAAGTCTCGTCTCTAAGTGTTACATGACGTTACATTTCACTTTAGTTCAAGAAGGTATTTTGTACTTACATGTCACAAGCTAGATAAATAGTGCGGTATGTGAAATCAATAGCACTTTAAAAAAAAAAAAAAAAAAAAAAAAAAAAAAAAAAAAAAAAGGTCCTGCCCGATTGACCCCGAATCACACGCGGGTTGGCAAGAAAGCACTGGTCACATGTCTTTTCCCATTGCCCCTGCCCGGGCGCAGCGCTGAGTAGAAAGGGACCCATGACGAGAGCGACCACGAGCGCCGGATGGGCTATGATGCTGAGGGCTCGCATCAATTACTGGTGTTCCGAGCTGGGTGGTGGATGAAGGAGGACAATCGACTGAAATGGGGGTTCGATCCTTGGACTTCAATGGTGTTGGAGGAGGCGAAACGTACTCGGGCTCTTCAAGCGGAGTGAGAGTGCTACCACTATGCCAACAGGACGTGGCACAAATCAGAATGATTTCTGGAGTATTTGTTGAGCTCAGGCTTGGAGCTGGCTTCAGGCGTCAGCTGGGTTTGGTCAAGTTGGCAGTCCCAAGAAGGAAGACTGCCAGTTCCTCCAACCCATGGCTCCCATTGACCTGGTCAGTGGTCATCCAAGCTCACCCTCAAGCTGGGCCGAAAGTGGTGAGAGAATGCGTCAAGCTGTCAACTGATTCCAGCCGTTAACCGATACATTGTATTGAATAGCGACATCAACCGAGGACACAGGCCAAGGCTCCATCTCGATGGCTCCGATAACCGGAAGCTCCTTATCGTAAGGACAAGCCTCAACCTGGTGGTCAGTTGTACATAGAGATCTACTTATGTATTCATATCGATCCTCCCCAAGAGTTTCATCTTATCTAATCTGTTTTGCTTTGCTCATCTGACTTCTAGGAACGGATATCAACTGTATTAATCTAGGGGCCGAAGAGTTCTTCCTAGCTTGGATTTATCGCTCGCGGAGTAATCCCAACGACTGGTTCAATCTCGTATTGCAAAAATGTTGGGTCAACTTGCTGGAAGAAATACCAGGAGACAAGGCTATGGTCGACTACTTAATCAGAAGAAGAACTATCACTGTCTCGCGACCATACCGCCACATCCATTCAAACCGGACAGTGAAAGAGGTACGGCAGGCCTTGACCGTCGGGAGCAAGCGTTAGGATCGACTCGATCGAGCGCATTTTCGACTTACCCTCCAAGAAAGACGAACAAGCTAACTCAACCATCATCCAACAAGGACAGCCCTCCTAACCATCCGTCTTCATCATCCCTATCGCTGTTCCATTCCCAACCTCGCGCGAGCGACGCGGTCAAAGAGGATGAGGCCTTACCTGAGTACCTCCAATCGGAAACTCTCCCATCCTCTACTACCCAACCCGCAGACGAGAAACATGCCGTCGTCAGCACCTTCGATCTCTTCTCTATCGGCATCGGGCCCTCTTCCTCTCATACTGTCGGCCCAATGAGGGCTGCCAAGATCTTCACAAATGACCTCAAGGAGGCCGGCGTCTTGGACCGCGTCAAAACTCTTAAAGTCGCACTCTGTTCGTCGTCTTTCATCGTTATTCTTCTTGTTTTTTTTTTTTTGGAACGTGTCTTCGCTGACTTCAGAATCTGGGCTCTCTCACAAAACATCATTCTCAATAGACGGTAGTTTGGCAGCCACTGGTTAGTTCAAATCATGACCATCTGCGCCGTTGTTTTTTTATGCGAAAAAAATAAAATAATTTAGATACTTTTATAAACAGGAAAAGGGCACATGTCACCCGAGGCGTTGATGGCCGGTTTCGAAGGCCACAGCTGCGAGACGGTGGACACAGACTCGATCCCGACGCGCTACAAATCGGTGTGCGAGAACAAGTCGATCAACCTCGGCCTCGCCCTCGACCCTAATGGCATCGGCCATCGTGTGCAGTTCGATATCGAGAAAGATCTGGTCTGGTTGTGGGATTGCGTACTCCCTCAACATCCTAATGGGTTCAGTCCTCCCTATCTCCCTACTGATTGTTCTTTTTTTTTTCAAAACTAACTATTTCTTGATTTTTCTTAAATGTACCAGGATGCTGTTCTCAGTGTATGATAGCGAAGGAGATTTGATTGCCAACAACACGTATTTTTCGATCGGAGGAGGATTTGTAGTGAACACGGAGACCCAGTTCTCGGGGGAGAATTTGTACTACAAGCAGATCGACAAGCGGAAGGCCTCGACGAGTCGGATCGATCCTTTCAAGCAACTCCAGCCTCTCGTCGACTCTCTCCCGCTCAACAATCAGCCCGTCGTCGCTGACCCCACTCGGCCTAACACCCAGCCCTCCCCCGATCCTCCCACTAAAGATGGCCCGCCTTTTCCCTTTCATAATTGTGATAGCCTCGTGGAACTCACTCGTAAACACAACGCACGTCCCTCGCTTTCTGTTCAACTTTTCTCTTCCGGGTCATTCATGCTAATATGATCTTTCTTCCCTTTGAATAAACTCAGCTAACCATCGCACAAATTGTATACAATAATGAGCGAGAATTCTTCTCCGACGATGAGATCAGAGAACGAGTTCTCAAGATATACAAAGTTGGTAGTTCAATTTTGTGTCAATGTTGAAATGAAGGAAAATGCTTAAAACAGTGATGTGTCATTTCAATTACTAGGTCATGGATGATTCAATCAAGCAGGGTGTCTGTTCCGAGGAAGACGTCTTGCCCGGTCGGTTAAGGGTCAAAAGACGAGCCAGGAATTTGTATCGAAGGTCATTGAACATTCCTCCCCTTGCTCTTCCCCCCGTCGAAAGAAAACGACATATATTTTGGAGTCAATCAGCGCAATTGGGCTAACGGACTGGATTAAAATGCACAAAATCATCTTACGGGACTGGACGGAAACTACAGACTTCATCGGGGATTTTTCCCATCAGTTTCCGACATTTCAACCAGTCCACCGCCGCGATTATCGTTTACGAAGCCGAACATGTTACCGGGCGAGAGTGAGAGAGAGGAGATGAACGAGATGGCGCCACGCACGGAGCAGAGTTATGCCGAGCCGTCATCCCAACTCACCCCGGAGTCGAATACGACCATTCATTTCCGCGGAAATCGTCGTGCCCCTCTGCTCCTCCGTGGCCAGTTCGATCACAACGTCCAACCTATCCTCCCTCGTCGAATGAGCTTTCCTTCGATGGACTTCTTGTCTTGTTATGCTATTGCTGTCAAGTATGTCCATTACATTACCTTCCCCAACTCTTCCGTTGTTCCATGTGCGAAAGTCAGGTTGATCTTATTCTTTATTGGACTGGTTTGTTGTCGACTTCAGTGAAGTTAATGCGGCTGGTGGACGTATCGTGACTGCCCCGACGAATGGAGCTGCTGGTGGTCAGTGATCTCTTTCTTTCGTTCCACCTTACAGTGCAGTAGACGTGGATTAGCTTCGGGTCAGATGAAATTAATGTTTCTTCTTCCTTACATCATCCCAACCAGTTCTTCCTTCGGTCTTGAAATATTTCTTAGAGGTACATCTTTTTTTTCGCCACATCATAACACAAAGGCCGAGAAGATCAGAAATCTGAGTTGTTTCTTTTTTTTTTGGTGGGGGGCTAGTTCATCTCTGAAGACCCGGAAAACGATACGATGACTTTCTTGTTAACAGCAGCGGCGATAGGAATGCTTTACAAGCGAGGTGCGACGATTAGTGCTGCTGAAGGCGGTTGTATGGCCGAGGTTCGTCTTGATCTTAAATCTATCATCCTCGTCTGACATGAGTGATGACTGGAAGGTTTTGTTCTTAGGTTGGAGTCGCGTGTTCAATGGCATCAGGCGCTTTTGCAGCATGGTATGAGTCCTGTATTCCAACATCTCAAAGGGACATTTCTTTTTAACATTTTTTTTTGTTTAATTTTACCGTTGATGCTCTGATCATAAACGGATTGGAAAAAAATAGCATGGGGGGAAGTCCTGAAGTCATAGAAGCGGCAGCCGAGATCGGGATTGAGCATTGTTTAGGTCTAACATGTGACCCGATCGATGGATTAGTCCAAGTGAGTCTGTCCCCCCGAACACCTCTGGACCTTCTCCATCTTGCGACCCCGCACCATAGAAGCCAGCCACCCAAGAGCCACTCCCAACATGAATTTTACAAAAAAAGAATGTCTCGATCTTTGAAACAAATAGCTAACAAAATTTGGTTGGTTGGTCTTAGATCCCTTGTATTGAGAGGAACGCCCTAGGCGCCGTCAAGGCGGTCACCGCAGCTCAACTTGCTCTCTCGGGTGACGGCGTGCACAGCGTCTCGTTGGACGAGGCTATCGCGGCCATGAGACAGACCGCCAAGGATATGTCCAGCAAGTTGAGTATCTCATGTCTCCTCCTGTATCATTTCGTCCGCCTTCTCTTTGTCACCATTGTTTTAAATCTGCTTGATTTTTCTGTTGGTTAGGTATAAGGAAACTAGTCGGGCCGGGCTGGCTGTAAGTTATCTCCTTAACCCACTTTCTTCGTTCCTTTAAAAGGCACATCGTTAGACCTTCTTCTTTTTTTCATTGATGATTAATTCCTTTTGTCTGTTTTTCATTTTTCACATTTAGACTTCGGTCAAAGGGGCTAGGATTCCGGTGACGGTCCCGGATTGTTGATCTCGTAATAGCTACCTTTTATTAGACATATATGTTATATCTTGGTGGTGTCCGTTCACGTCTTCGACGATAACCACCAGCACATCAAAAGAGTCACTAGGCTCACTCCTCTGGTTCATGATTCACGAACATGTACTATTAGATTACAAACAGTCATTGTTTCTTCTTTCTCTCTATCTTTGATACATCATACGTCGAGTGAAGCATCTTGTCTTGCAGACAGCCTTAGAAAGCCTTAGAGGGTAATGTGAGAGATGAATGAATGATTGATTGATTTAGATAGCAGCGATCTTCCATCATCAAAAGCCAGATCAAAGAAGCTGGACATGATCTACTGGAGAGTGTAGGTATGTAGACTCCTGATCAATTTCTCCACAGACACGCTCCAAGGAGACAGGTCTTTGTTTGGCCTCAGACTTGGTGCTGGCCACTGCCGAGTCGGCTGGGAAAGGCCTGAGTCCGGCGCTGGCACACCCAAGCGCTCGGCGCGGGACAGGACTGTATGGCGACCCGGTTGAACCCTAGCAGGCCGGCACCCTCTCCCACAACTGTGCCACCCACCCATCCCTGCCACTCTGGACCATCGGTGACGCGTTTCCCAAGTACCATAGGCTTGTTGACCACCATCCTGTCCACAAAGTACCGTCAAACCTTAACTGTCTTTGACTCCAACAATGGCCCGACGATCACAACCACCACCGTCTCAGGCTCCGCCCGGCCCCGGTATCATGAACCTCAACTGTTTCTTCTCCTTCGGCAACGAAGTACCCATCAATCCACTCCCCAGCGCCCTGTCTACCCTCATCGAATCCTCCAAATCCGATCGTCGAAAACCATCTGAACTCCCCAAACGTGTGTGAAGTTTAATGTCAATCCTATCATCTTCTTCCGATAATTATCTAACTGGGCTTGATTTCTTCAACATGTATGAACTAGATTTTCTTGTCAGAGTTTTCAAGAAACTCATCCCGGTGCTTAAGCAAGGACGAACGATGCACTGGTACTCGGACAAAGAAGACTTCCGAGAGCTTGCACCGTTTCGAATGGAGTTCGACCTTCTACCCCGATTGCGTCGTAGACTCGTCGATTTATCTCAAATCATGGACCAAAACAAGCTGAAAACCGATGCACAACTCCAAGCGGTGCATAAACTTTTGCACCAGATCTCGATCGATGCTACCCAGCTCAAGATGTCGGTCAGCTTGACTTGGGATCCATCCAAATACAAAGGATCGAAGGACAATCTCATCGACATACCGCTCTACTACTACCCCGATCTACCTTGGGGAGTCGATCATGTCAGGGACTCGATCGCCGATTTATTCAAATCGTACTCAGAACCACTCGCTGCCGGTTCTAGTGGAGTCAAAGACACTAAAGAAGATGTCAAATCTCTCCTCGATTTGATGGACCACATGATCGGGGACTTGAAATCGCCTCGATTGGCAATGCAGGCCAAGTGGCGATGGATGGTCAGAGAGGTCGAGGTGATGGATCATGCGGTAATCAAATGTCTCAAACCTCAAAAGGTTCGAGTCAGTAACCCACTCGAAGGGCTAGAGGACGACAAACATCTCGAGATGACCCAATGGCGTCCGCGAGAAACAATGGCGGATCACGAAGTCCGATACGTCCAGCTCGCTATGCCGATCTTCAGGCTCGGCCGACTTCTCTTGAACAAGCTATCCAGACCCACCAATAGCAACCCTTCTCTGACCTCAAGAATGACTCTCACGGAGTTGAACGAGCTTTACAAAGCAACGGACACGATCGACGAGGATTTCAGAGTATTTGCTCAAGTGACCTTGCAAGTCAGTCGCGATCAAGCAGGTCACATCTTAAAGGAGGTCTTCGCGCGCTTGCAAAAACCCATGAAGGTACTCAACAAACACTTCAACTCTTTGGGGTCCGACGTCAATCAAGACGAAGTCAAGGACTGCCAACAATGGTGCAAGAATTGGATGGCCCATCTCCAAATCGCCGTCGAGAGATGTCTCGAATATTGCGTGTTCGACGACTCGGACCCTTGGGAAACCGAGAGCGATTGATGATCGGTCATCGAACGATCAAGTTATTTTGTTTGCAAGAAACTGGCCGAGAATCTATACTTCCGATTTCAATTCATCTAAAATAAATCTCTTGAAACCTGATATCTCAACATGGTACCTCCATACCCTCCAATTATTAGCTCGAATGAAACGATTGTCAAAATTATCTTGCTACGCTTCAAACTCTAGGTCAAGCTCGACTACTCTAGTCATAACCAGCCACCTTCTCCTTTCCAATTCCACTCATCTTACTGAACGCAAGAAAAAAAAATTGTTGTTGTATACCTGTCTTTTTTCTTTTTCCTCAACAAACTTTCAAGAGCTTAGATCCTTGTCTTCTGCAGCTGATATGTATGAAATGACGAATGAGAAATGTGTGTCTTGTTGTGTGCTTTGTTGAGTTGGCCCGAATGATGATCACAGTCTTTATTCATGGTGTTCTGCTGCCATGAATTCATTGCATTATCCTTCTTCAACTACTCACACTGTCCTTGGTACGATACTATCCAGGAAGAGGTGCCTCTCAGCTCGCGTCATGTAAGACATGACCTGCGTCCTGTGCAAATCAAATCGAAGCGAGTCAAAGAGATGTTTTTCAAGTTCATTATTGCAAAGACCAAACTCGAAGCGAACTCTCAGAGTCCCTAAGATTTGAAATTGAAGACGCGTTCGCGTAAACCACCATCTTGGGCCAATCTATCCAAGATTGAAGTTGACCTCGCCTTAGACTCACAAGGTCCTCCTCCCCCCCTCAACTGGTACCAGTATCGAGGTTTCTACTCACCATGTGTGGATCATGCGTTTCTTCTGGGCGGAAGGCCCCTTGGGGATTTTGCTGAAACACCATACAGCTAATTCGAGGGGACTTTTGTGAGCATTTCTAGACCGGTCCATTTCTAATACATACAAACGCTGGGGAAGTTAGGAGTGAACATGTGATGCCCCAGCCCATCGGCACCAGGAGTCTGTACCGGTGCCTATGCCCCCTCTGACATATCATTGCGTGTATCACCATCATTGTTGTGAGACTCGTCATTTTGAAAAAAAAAGCTGCTTTGTCTATGAAGAATCAGAAACAGCGAAAGGGTACTGAATTGTTTCCTCATTCGTCAAGTCACCATGATGGCAGGTCGATTCATCATATTCGGACTTTTTGGGTTCCTTGTTCATCATTGCCAGCAATGCGATTGATGACTTGGTCCCGGAGCGCTTCAGCTCCCTTGGGAATGTCGACTTGGACGATACGATCAACTTCAATGCGCTCAATCAATACCTTGCTCAACAGACGCCGAAAGACGGTCCTAGAGCTCCAAACTCTAACCCGAGTACTAGCACGCAAGAAGCCGCTCCGAATGCCGGCCACCCTTCTGGACAACTTGGTTCTGAAGCCCAGATAAGACGAATCGGCGAGGCTCGACTGGCGAGGACGAACGACATCCAATTCCTTCCGGCAATCCAATCCCATCCAGCCAAATTCTCAACAGAAGCTGTCTTGACCCCCGGCATGACTTATCCAGTGGTTCCTAGGACGCATCAGACACTCAACCAAGACTCCCATAGGGTTGATGCGAAGGCGCAAAATCCAATCAACAAACTACTGCTGGAATACAGTCAACCTTCTCGGAATCGGATGAACAAAGAAACGCCTGGTATGAATGTTATAGATCACAACACTCATATAAAGAACAGTCACGATCCCCGACGTTTAGAGTTATTGAAATCTTCCCTTAAGCCCATACCTGCTCGCAAAGATGGTCGAACTGCAGCCAGACTCACATCTTTGACTCGACCGCCACTTGAAAATCAAGTGTCAACCAGTACATCGAATAGGGGTTTTTTGAACCATCCGGCTTATTATGACATCTACAACGCGAAGCATAACATGGTTGAACTATACCAAGCGGGTCTGGATGCTTACGCTGAGGCTTTGGAAGCAGCAAAAAAAGATGAATTTATAGAAACTATTCCCACCAGCACAACTTCAAGTTCCAAGCTTTCTCAAAATAACGATCCGGATCATCAACACCCCTCCAAAACTGCTTTACCAACATTAAGCTTTGATAAGGAAATTTTCACATACGAAGGTGTATCCGGCAGACATAAGAAAGGTCTAGCCCTATTTAAGCAACTCATTGAAGAGCATCCTGAGAATGAAGATCGATTGGTCGTACCGGAAGGCGATATGACACGCGTTCAGAGCCTTTTTTCTAAATCCAAAGTTTACCAAGAAGAAAATTATAATGAGCCGGCTGAGGTTCGCGATGCAAACCAAATGAATGTGCGAAGGTACAGCTTCACGAAAGAGAAAAACTTAGAAATCATCTCAAAACAAGATCTCTGGTACGGATATTGGGCAAATCAAATGGGCAGAAATGTGAAAAGCTACATAAACAAGTTCTATTCGCCCGCAATAACAGAATTGTTTGCAAATTTTTTGTTTTATGTTGAAATGATTACAGTGGTCACACTCAAGCCAGAAGGCCAAACAAGAGATGACTATACTTCAGGAATCAACAAAGCATGCGAATCATTCTTAGAATTTGCCAGTATGATTTCGACCCCAGACCAGAGAGGAGAAGGGATTCACAGGTACAGAGTAGGTGAACAGCGTGTCCTTTGGTGGTTTCTGGAGTTCTGGTTGCAACATCATCACCAACGGTTTTGGGCTGGACAATCCATTCGAAATAGATCGGGCAGCTTGCATATCAAACTCTTTTTCAAACAATTCTTCAACGAGATCTTTTACTGTTCAATTGAAAACTTCAATAAAAGATACAAAGATTTGATCAAAACTCGGCCGATTATTAATCCAAATTCTGTCTGAAAAGTCTTTTTTTCTTTCTTTCTTTTTCTTGATCATTTTTTCCAATTCTTTTGGTTCCAATAATCTTTAATTCCTTCCCCCTAAAAAAATAAATCTGTTCTCAACTTCTGCTGCACCAAAATACCGCTTCAAAAATTGATAAACAATAACTTCAGTCAAACCTCCAAATCACTACACATTTTGATCCAAACATGCCTACACATACAAAATGCTCTTGTTGACTAGATCATTTGAGGGCTTCCCTTTGATTTTACAGCCCCCTGTAAAGCTATATTTACAGGCTGTAAAGCTGTTTTGCCAGCAAGAATTGGGCTTGATATCCTGTGGATCTAGCTTTACAGAGCCTGTGAAGCCAACAAGAAGTCCTCCATACATTTTGGCTCATTGCAAAATGATGGCACAAAAAATAATATAAAACTGGTGATGTGTAATTTGAAGTGGTGATCCCCAAGTTTCCTTGATTTTTTTTACTATTATGCATCTCACATAATTTTTGACAGTAGATAGAAGTCAAGTGGTGTAAGACTGTATAGTTTCCTGAAGTAATTAAAACATAGCAAAGCATTATTGCTTCTTGAAAACAATTTGCAATGTCCCAAATCAGTGACTTTCATTGACCCTTTCCATTTTGACTGTCCAGGTCCCCATTCTTTTGTTTCAACTTTGAAACCCTAGCCATCATGTTTTGGCATTATCAAATTTGAGATATCAGCCTGAATGAAAGAGATCTGTTTGTGTTGGCATTTAGTCTTTTACTCAGCCCTTGCCTTTTTTTTCTTCTCAGAAACATTAACTCCAGATTCTGAGATAGATTGAAATCAATGGATTTACTCTTTCATTGCTTGAAGTTTTCTCCTTCTCAGTATGATAATATATCCTGTTATGAAGCTTATTCCCCAGCTTGTAGTCATTGAACCCTGTCTGAGGAGGGTATAACGTGTCTCATGCAGTCTTGCTTATCCTCTAGATTATATTCCATTCATGTTAGTCTTTGTTTTATACCCAAAAAAATTTCTTTCTATTTTAGATTCATCATGCTTTATTCATTATCATTTCTCCCACAACTTGAACTCTTGATTAAACCACATTGGTTTGTTTCCCTCTTTTTCTGCTCTTTGAGCCATTCCAACATTCAAATTTGCCACTAAAAACATTCTCTTGAAGTTCTATCCATGCTCAGCAGCCCTAATTTAAACAATTTATGGTCATAAGAAATAGTTGCTGGTAATAAGCCCCTTCCACCATACATCAAACATGACAAGAGGTTAATTAGTGGCTTGTTACTTTGCAATTGATCAATAAAGACAAAAATTATAACCTCCTAACAATTTCTCACCTCATTCTGTGAAGTGATCAGAATGGGACTTTCCACAGAATTCCTTCAAAGAAAAACAGTAGATTCCAGTTGTGTAGGCCTGACTTGAAATTTATTATTTAACTGAAAGAAGTGGTGGATTCATGGGTTCAATTAATTATATAAATATGTAATCACTTCTGAATGACAACCCAAACAGGAAAATCATAAAAGAGAGGCTAATCCTTACTTTAGAAAGAAGTACTAAAAATAAGCTCAAGATACCTCAAAAGAAGAGTATGAACAAACTAACCACAGACATGAATAAACCGATGCCACAGATTATCAGAAAGAGTGCAGTATTAACAGACGAAAAGTATACATGGCTATTAAGGATTTTCCTTTGATGTACCTCATTAAATAAATACGATTGTAATTGAAGCCGTATGATTAGATAAGAATTAGTGGAAATCACCGTCTAAGGTCAAAAACGTCAATTTTCATGTTGATCTGGTCGGGTGCATTCCCATACAATCGATAGTGAAGGCTCGTGTTCTTCATGCAATATGACCGGCGGGGTGTCTGTCCAATCAGCTATAATCGGTAAGCCAGGGCAAAAAGAGCTACTTATAAATTGAAAGATGTGATGTGTGGTTAAAATCGTGATACTTTCAACTCATATCTATTAATGAACTAGTTTCAAGAACTAAGGAAATGGGTTTACCTCGGAGAATTCGGAAGATGAGACCTTTCGAAAGGCTTGCGAGGGAGCTGGTTTCCGACAAAGCACTTGTGAACTGTGACTTTAACTTTGTCATCATAACAATTAAAAGCAGGAGATTATCAGGACCACATTATTCACACTTCACTGTCACGACATGCGAGCAAATAATTTCAGATTCATGAATGTCATACCTTTAGAGAACGGCCATTGGAATTGGAAGGGGGATGTAAGGTGATTGTTGCAATTATCGTCGTCATTGCTGATTTCGTAGTCACAAATGGGTTCGATATTACCCGCAAGAAAACATCTTCCGGTTAAGAAAAATCCATCAAGGAACACTTTAACCACCATGTCGAATGGGATCGGACCTGACGAAAGTCTAACCGTAAACCTTCCGTTTCTAGGTATTTCAGATCTGACGGTGATGCTTTTCGACGAGTATAAGATTTTTGGCACGCTCTCGGGAAATACCTTCTTGTTCTCGTCGAGCAGATTGGCTGTGATAAACTGAAGTTTTGGCATGGTTGGTAGGTTGGAAGGTTGAAGAACGAGTGTAGCAAGTTTCTAGTATCACAGTTTTCAATGATCAAGGGCACTTGAAGGAAGTGACGAAGGATCGAGAGCGATTAGATTTATGTAGTCCATGGGCCTGACTAAATGTGCGTCAAGACTCTTGGGAACTATGAATTACATAGGTTGAGATAGAACGGCGAGACAAAGAGATGTGAGACCGAAAGGCATCCAACGTCTTCGGTGCCACAGTGTTAGAAGGCCTCAGCGTTCAGCTGCGATCATCCCTTTGACCGAGTCAGATCCGTTGATGGGACGCGTGGTACAATCTCCAACTGGTAAGCTTGTCACTAGACAAGCTATCCAGGACAGCAGCATGGTAAGTATCGGCACTCCACGATGCCGAAGCTCCCCTGATGGAACCAGTCTTCGAAATCTGTGGGCAGAAACAAAGGACTCGTGTGTACTACTCCTACTTCATCGACCCGCTCAATGGCTCATTGGTTGATTCATAAACTTATTGGAAGGCAAAGCCTAAGTAAAAGGGGGTTAGCACCCGCTGAGTCTAGTCAGAGCTTGCCGTTCGTCCGTCCGAAATGGCCCTTTGTCCTGCGCGCTTAATACTTTCGTAGTGTTCATTGAATGTATAGGCCAGTAAATCTTGATGTTATCTAACCCAGATTTGGAACTTCTCGAGGAGGCAAGTTGGACTGGGCATCATGCATCTTTACAAGGGTTTTACCTTCGCCGATCCGATAACATCTCCTCGGATGGACCTGCTCCGCTGGCAAGCTCCTTTTGGCCCCTTTGTTCTTCGGTCTTAAGTTTGGATAACACGCTGAAATATTGTCGGAGTGTTTGTGCATGTAACAGGCGAGTGACAGTTGTCAGTCGGAGTTTTCCTCAACCTTTCTGCCTCCAACATTATGAAGCGGTATGTATGGGCATGGCCAACCACTTCGGAATACCACACACACACACCATGCAGGCCTTTGATCCTACTCAGCATCCCCATCGAAGGTTTAATCCACTCACTCATGAGTGGGTTATCTGTTCTCGTCAGTCTTATTTATTGTGATCTTCATTGGGACGTTGTCACATAGAATGTAACAGGCATATATTGATGGTTTCTCGTATGAACCGAATTAAGCTCACCGTAATAATCGACCATGGCAAGGACAGATCGAACCAAATGAGGACACTAGATTGCCGCCCTACGATCCAAACTGTTATCTGTGTCCGAACAACACCCGGGCCAGTGGCCAGGTCACTGAAAAATACACATCAACTTACTTTTTCGAAGTTTGTTGATTCTTTCCATTGATACTGATTGAATGAAACAAACAGAAGAGTGTCGAGCACTAGTGACAAGCTGATCGTGCCTTTTTTTGTGATTTGATTCTTCAGAACGACTTTGCTGCCGTGAATGATGTAGAAGTTTCTCAAAAATCCGGTGCGCCACTCTGACACTCACACCCTCATTTGTTTTTCAAAAAAAAAGCTGATTTCGTATTCTCTGGAATGGTGTCTTCAGATTCGGACCCTTTACGCATGGCGCTTCATCGAACCGAACCCGCTCGCGGAAAATGCTACGTGATTTGTTACAATCCCCGCCATGATTTGACTATGGCTGAGCTTACACCAGACGAAATCTTGCCGATTATCAAAGCATGGTATGTAGTTTAATCTTCTCCTTTGGTATTGTCATTTTTTTCTTTTCTATGGCGATCAAGGATTCGTATTAATTACAAATGTTTTGTCACCTAGGATCGAGCTATATTCCAAAATCAAGAGGGAGCAGCCATTCATCAAATACATCCAAATGTCAGTCACGCATGAGTGTCCCGGTCTGGTGAACTTTAACACGCTCTTCCGACATCAATAATGTCTTTTTTCAAAAAGACGCCTGCTTTGACACTTTGGAATCTGATCTACCTTGACTTATCTTCGCACGCATCAGATTTGAAAATAAAGGCGCAATGATGGGTTGTTCAAACCCACACCCTCATGGACAAGTAAGCCGCCCGTGAGAGGAAGAACAAACCTCAGGTCCTCAATGGAGTATTAATTTCGGAAGCATTTCTTCGTCTTGCCCAGGTCTGGGCTCTTTCATATATTCCAACAATCCCAACCACAGTCTTGAAATCACAAGAAGATTTTGCTAGCTCGGCCATCGATGTTCCTGATTCAGCCCGACTCCAAGATGGTCGACCCAGTTTGTTGTTATCTTACGCCCACTCAGAGCTGCACCCGGAGCCCTCAGCACGTGTTCTACATCGCACCGAGTTCTTCTTGGCAGTCGTGCCGTTCTGGGCTACCTGGCCTTTTGAAGTCCTTGTCTTACCTCACTCTCACCACATGGCCAGCCTCCTCGATCTGCCTCCTGGGGCCGATCTTGACTTGGCAATGATCCTTTCGCACGTGACGCGCGCATATAACAATCTTTTTCGCTGCAGCTTCCCATACAGCATGGCTATATTCCAAGCTCCTCCTCACTCTGAGGCGTCGGTCGCTCAACTTCATATTTCATTTTGCCCTCCGCTGCTGAGATCCGCAACTATCCGGAAATTTCTGGTAGGGTAGGTAGTCTCCAAGCACCCTCTTGAACATTTTCCATGGTTTGACTGATAAAGCCCTCTCGCTACTTTGACTCGTCCATCAATCAGGTTTGAAATGTTCGGTGAAGCTCAACGAGATCTAACACCCGAATTGGCCGCTGAGAAGTTGCGAGCGGCAGCGCTTCAACCTTACTATAGATAGAAAGCCGGATCGTTTCTGGACAGAGATAAACCTTTCAATTGTCTACCTGTCGATAGACCTGCTCCACAAACCCAGACCAAGATAAACAAACCATGAGGAAAAAAGAAGAAGAAATATAGAGGTAGTAAACGCAATAATTGAAAGCAGTGTGATAACGAGAAATTAAAATGCAACCGAAGAATCCATTTTAACTTATTTTTCAACAATATTCTTACCCGACAAGTTGACCAACTGAAACGAAAATAAAATAACTTAGCAGAGTTTGTGTTGGTATCACTTTTACCAACCCAATACAACTAGCAAGCTCTAATCCAGCGAGCTATGTCCACTCTGCTGATTGATCGTGTAGTTGTTAAGATGCGAAATTGGATTCTACCTGAAAATAGTTCGTGTATTCTATATGTACACCTGAATTTCTTGAGCTTTTAATTGTACTCAGATCTATGCACCTTACTTTTTTTGAATTTATGTATCTGTTCAATTGTCAATCAGTAAGCCATTGTGTAATGGATTAACTGGTCAAATGAACCTATATGTGAGCCCCTCAACGGTTCCGCCAGATCACTACTTAGCAAGATGGCCTACATATCAAGCTGATCACTTTGTTTTCTTCAGAATACGAAACAAGGCACACACCTTCGGCATTGTTGAGTCACATCATGCCCAGCCGATACTTAGGTGGCATCAGCCAACTCAATCTCCATAAAATGAGCAATTCAAGGCAATCAGTGGCAGTGCGCAACCCCGATATATACGTATTCTCAACGGACCACGCTTTTCCGCACCAACCACACCAGTGGCAGTTGCCAAGAACGAAAACCGGATCTTGGGAAAAGCAAGCCAGTATGTTTGGTGGCAATTCCATGACTTGGTATGTCATATGTGGTAAATCGTCTCGGGATATCCTCTATGTGGCTTATCAGAACAGCTGCCCAGGGCTCTCCAGGCTCGAATTTTATGTGTCTACAACATACTCGTCCTCCTCGTTTTGCAAGATGTGAGTGAATGCCGTTGGGGGGTCTTTCTGTGACGATGATGCTTGATGATGGTCATGGGGATCGAGCCATCGTTAAGTGCGGTTGCGGGATCATTCAGACTCAGAGGATCGGGGTGGCAAACTTTTGATAGTCCTCTTGATCAGCTTATAAATCTTTACCATCATCATCTCTCTCCTTCTCTCTTTGTTCTTCTTCTCGTCTCAGCATTCGGTCAACCCCCAAAAATTGACAATCAACAAAATAGGATTGTCTTATCTTTTCTTTCTTTCCGCTTCTCTGCCACCTATACAATATACTATTGTGCTCATCATCCCAGCTTCTTACTGTCGAATTTTTTTGTCTGATTCTTTGTTCAACATCGCACATTGCTTCACCGAACCGATTTCGTTTCCCACTTCTCACGATGAGTGCTTCATCAGATGTTGTCCATGATCAAGTTTCAGTGTTGTCGAGGGGGCTAGATCACCTTGGTACCGGACCCGTTACACACTCTCCAAAGCAAGAAGCACCACCCGTATCAACTGATGGTAATTCTGGCGAAGCTGAAAGCTTTGAGTTCGAAGTACTTACGCCCTATGACCAAGAGTCTGGTGAGTTTTTTTTTTCGGTAACGAAGTTCATCTAGTTATGTTATTATCGGGAATTCAGATCTTCTTCATTTCTGACATGCCGACCGATTGAACATCGCTGCGGCGTGCATTATTTCCACAAATTGGCTTGAAAGAAGGAGTTCTAGAATCGTTGGATGTTGGAGGCTCCGCCGAAGTGTTTCCTTCGTCAGCGCATGTGGGCCATGGGGCATCTATTATGGCTCAGAATACGATGGTTGATTTTAGTCGATTGCGTCGACACGGGGCCGCACTTCGTCAAGATTGCAATCGCCGGTTAGCCGAGAGCATAGAGCCTTTGATTGCGGATGATTCTGTGGCTACAAGCAGGTAATCTCCTGTAACTTCCTTCAATCCCAGACCATTGCTAATAAAAGGTGTTGATTCTTTGCAAATTTATCGGGTCCCTTCCCTTTCTTTATCAATCCGGCCATCACAGATTAGTGATGACCAAGACGCACTGCTTGTACCCCAAGAAATCAACTTTGATACCGTTTCCCAGTTGCTTGATAGGTGCTTTGGACTCTCCATTATGATAATCAATGCTAAACCGCCTGAACGATGACAATAATTGAAATTAAAGAGCTAACTATTTCAACATTATGATTCCTGGAAATACCTTCCAAACACGAAAACAGGGTTTCGACTTATTCTCCATCCATGTGATCCCAAAGCAAGAATTAAACACGTCAAAATCGAATTAACCTTAAATTCAAAAGAGGCAGAGCCCACCGGTTCCCTAATCGCGATCAAAGTTGAACATCCCTATCGTTTTCCTTTTTCCCCCTTTTTCACTTTTCGTCATCAAGTTCAACAAAGTATCATGTTCAGCTCTGACACCTTTTCTTCTTAATTCTACCCCTTATTTTCAATTTTTCCAAGTCAATTTATCCGCCTGATGGTGAAATACAGGAAACTGGCGAAAGAACATTGGTTCATGCCATGCGGGAAAATTCAGCTGGAATTAGCGTAGGAGTAGACCCGGTAAGCCTTACTTCCTCTTGGGTGAAAATAAATAAGAACATTGTGGTTTTCCGATCACGTCTCTACCGTGTGGATATGAAATCTAACTGTTTGCATATGACCCAAATGCTCAGTATGGCACTGCGACACTCAAACATGTCCAATCCATTGGACACAACAGTTACACGGTCCCATATGTTCTCAGCTCCGGGGTCGATACCAACATTCTTCTGATTACCATGGAGGAAGATAGTTCCTTGAAGGCGGGAGTAGCGTGCGTGTGTTGAACATTTTTTTCACGTTCAAATTGAAACTAAGATCATCGATTGCTATTGCGTCTGGTTCATTTCTTGTGAAACAACAATGCATACTCTACAAAAATGGAGCAGTCCGTCTTTATACTTCGCTGCCCTACTTGAGCTGCCGACCGATACTAAAAAATCTTTCCACGCTCACATGAAGGTCGTTTCAAAGTCTCATAAACATTTCGCATCAAAAGCGTGGCCTAGCCCAATGTGGGTATGGGGTTGCTATCCTGCTGACACTCCTTTTGAACTCATGTCTTACCTATGATTCTTCTTGGTTCTCCAACCCTGTTTTCTTTTCTTTTTTTAGGGCATGGAGTTTTGAGTATGATGGTCAAACTGAATTTGGGAAATTCGGAACACATTGGCTTTTTCAAACCGGTTTCTTTTTCTTCTTTTTGTGTTCTTTGATTTTATTGATCACAGCTAAATATTTTTTCTGACAGAATTAGGAAGGTGATTTTATTTTAAATGCATTTTTATCCTGTGTAGTCAAAGTTTTTTCTTTTACACTGAAGGTCAGAATTTCTGTGTTATGATATTGATATGAAAATGAATACCAAAGCCCTGTATAATTGTTTAGATGGTTTGAATCCACCATTATTATTCCCAGAACAGCATCATTATCTTTCCTGCTTCTGGGAATCTGGCTGCAATACCATCCCTTCAGTAAGCTTTAAAGATTTTCAGAAGGGTAAGAATAGTTGTGCATACACCACGGGTTGTTCCGGACAACTTTTGGTCGGTGCGCTGGATGGTTGTCGGACCAGTTCTCCGTGGCTCTGCAAGGACCATCCTATGGATGGCACTCTCAAAACCTTGAAATGGACGTTTTGGAATAAACCATCCATTGGGTGGTTTTCTGGCAAGGAAAACCTCAAAAAAATCACATCCAAACTGGGCTTGAACCCACAACCTGCCTGCCTCAGTGTGATGCAATACTACAATCCTTACCAAGTCGACTATATCAGATTTAGTGGTTCACCACCTTAATGGTACATACCGCCAAATTTTTATGCAAAGCTAATTATCCAGCTTAATTTAGACTTTTGACCCCCCCAAGTCATGTGCATTTTGGAATGAATTTTTGACAATCAACTGCATTTTAGCCTGTTTTTTCAACCATCAACCACCCCACCTGTAAAGTGAAAATTGGGCACTTTCAAAAGTGTCCATTGGACACTCTTGATTGAGAGTGTCCAATGGATGGTTATTTTTTACCATCCAGAGGATGGTCTTGACCACCAGGCATCACTTGGATGGTTTCCAAAGCATCCAAGTGATGCTTGGGGCACCGGAGCATCCCTTGGATGCTTTCATAGCATCCAAAGGACGCTCTTGCTCAGAAAACATCCATTGGATGTACAGGTTTTCTAAAAACCCGCCCCGTGGTGTACAATTAGGGGCTTGACTAATTGACTCCCAAAAGTTGAAGAGTCAACTCCCAAACCCCAAAACCTCTGATAATTCCACCAAAATTCCTGAGGATTGGGAGTCAACCCCCCAAACTCATAAGTGGGTTTGTGAGTTGCATCCCCAAGAATTTTGAATAAGACAAAACAAAACCCCTGGAGGGGTAGGGATTTGATGCCTCAAAACCCACTGGGTTGGGGTTTTGGGGGTTGAAAAACTAAACACAGCCCCTGGTGGCCAGGAGGGAATCCTCCTGGCCGCTGTGGGCACACTCTCAATGGACAAGGGTATACCTCTCAGACATCAAGAGTGTACAATCCCAACAGTCAAGAGAAACCCTCTCAGTCTTTGAGAGTCTATGCTCTCAACGGCCAAGAGAAACCCTCTTGGTCTTTGAGAGTGTACGCTCTCAACCTCAACCAAGAGGATTTCACTCTTGGCAGTTGAGGTGTGCACCATCAACAACCAAGAGGTAAACTCTCAGCTTCTGGGAGGTACACAGCCATTGAGAGTGTACTTCTCAGTGGTGTGAGAACTCCTTTGGGAATGGTGGCAGTCCTGCAAGGGGGAAATAACAAATATGATATTGCACTGGTTTGATATATATATTGTTACTGGTGGTTTGAAATAACTCCCCCCCCATTTTACTACACAAGAATTCTGACAAAAAAAATTTATATATTGATGTGCCAAAACGTTTGTAGAGAAACCTTTATGTAGTAGTCTCTATCAGACCTAGATCAATTGATATATATGAAATGCTATGAAACAAGCTATCAACCTGATTAAGATCACACGTGATGGTAAAGGGGGGGGGGTTGATGATGATCATCATCAGTTGGCCAGGCTGTTTGATGATGAGATACTTGTTAGAGATCACCCCTATGAATGGGTTGAAATTTGATGAAAAACAGGAATTATATATAATTGATGCCAAAAACAGAACTGTAAAACAAGGATAACATTAAGATGAAAGTAGAAACAGTTCTTGAGAGAAAAAGAGATAGACTACCATGACTAGTTTTAAACTTATGAGGCAATAAAGCGGACAGACAGAGATATAAGATATCAAACAGTGACAAGTAGTAAGAGCTATTCAGTCGGAGACAATTCAAAATAAAAAGAAGAAATATGAGCTTGATTCTTGAATATAAATGTCAGTCTTGTGTATTCTCACCAAATTGGCAATAGCCACAAGAGAAAGTTGACAGATTGAGCTGGGGCAATTAGAAGAGTGGAAGTTGGAGAGTGTAGATCAAGATGTTTTTGATATCATGAGAGAGAAGAGCGACAGGAGATGTAGGACAATAGAAGGGAAGAGCTGAAGGCAAAAGAGAAAATAAAGAGTGGGAATGTTGAATGGTTGTTGTGAGGTTGAAGACCAAGCAGACAGCAAAATTTGAAGTTCTGATGTTGATCAGGCAAGGGGAGGGAGCTGCTTAGGAATTGTTCATTGAGTGCAGAGATTGGGTTGTTTTATAGTGAGATCAAGATTGTTTGGCTTGTGGTTGTGTTGCTTGAGATGGTGATAGTTCATTGTTTTGTCGGCCAAGGTGTGGTCGATGTTTATGAGACAAGTTTGGTGATTAGACAAGGAGATGTGATGAGTTAGAGGACAAAAAGGGAAGATAAAGAGGACAAAAACGGAATTGGAGAAGACAAGAATGGAGAGTGGGAAGCGGAAGAGGAGAGTGGAGGACACGGACAGAGAGAATTCCAACAAAATTTTCAAGTGAGATATGTGTTGATGCTGGGATTGCATGAGAAACTTGAACTGAGGGGGAAGAAAAGGCCTGCTTATATAGCCTATTTACGCAATGGCTGGCTTGTGGTTCTAGCCCTGATTAATAATTGAGACCTAATTAATAATTGAGAAAATGGCTAGATTGTAGTTCTAGCCCTAACCATTTACTTATCTCTAAATCTATACTATGCACTACCAATGTACCACTATGCTTTGTAATCATGTTCTATCATAACCTTAACATCTGGATAACTTCTGACTGAGTTGAGCTAGCCTAGTGGTTCCAGTGATTGATAAAATGGGAAGAGTTCTGAAGAATTCAAATATGCAATAATAAAACCAATAATAAAGATTATTCTCAATGATAATTTAAGAATTTATCTACTTTGATACTTGAAACACATTTGGCAGACTACATCAGCCAAGAGTGTGTATCTCTCAACGGCATGGCCAAGAGTTTATACACTCTCAACAGCCAAGAGTTTATACACTCTCAACAGCCAAGAGTTTATACACTCTCAACAGCCAAGAGTTTATACACTCTCAACAGCCAAGAGTTTATACACTCTCAACCTGTTGGTGGTGTGCCTCTCAACAGCCAAGAGTGTATACACCCTTGTCCGTTGGGAGTGTACATCCTCAATGACCAAGAGTGTACACTCTCAGGCGTCAAGAGTGTGCTCTCAGCGGCCAGGAGGAATCCGCCTGAGTCCTGGCCACTGGGGGCTGTGTTTGGTTTTCCAACCCCCAAAACCATTGGGCTTTGGGGCATCAACTCCCTACCCCTCTGGGGGTTTCGTTTTTTTTTTCTTTAAACTTCTTGGTGATGCAACTCCCAAGCCCGCTAACAGGTTTGGGGGCTTTACTCCCAATCCACAGGGGTTTTGGTGGAATTCTCAGGGGCTTTGAGGTTTGGGAGTCAACTCTCCAGCTTTTGGGAGTTGAGAGCAACTCCACCGCGGCCCCTATTTTTGGGCCGCTAAATTTTGATCGTTGGGACTGCGAAGCCAACTTTACAGCCTCAAAGTGCTGCGGCATACACCGCGAGAGTCTTTAACAATGTGTGAAAGGATGAGTGGTGTGTGAAGTTGGAACCAATTTGTATTGAGGTAGTAGAGTTTCACAAGTTAGTTGTTATGTGAAAGGGGATTGGGAGGTCGATAGAGGAGTCGCTAGGAGTCCCTACATGTAGGGACTCGGGCACAAAATTTAGGGGCGGCCGTAGATTTGAGACTCAAACAGCGGCCGCGGTGGCTCATGTTGGGTTGGTAAATTCCAACTAGGGACCCAATTTAGCGCCCGCGGTGGAGTTGCTCTGATTAGCCAAGCCCCTACAATTATAACATGCTGAGTCAGATTGTTCAGAGCCCATGTCTGCATCCTTTCCTTTATATCACACTAATCAATCTGGCTAATCTGAGCTTGGCTGATATCAAAAGGAATAGGTGAAATTATGGCATTAACACCAAAATATGGCATAGCTGATGAGATTGTTGAGTGAGAAATTAAAATGGATGAACGGAAAGAAATTCTGAGCAAAACCCTTAATTTACATGTGTTGATCCAACTTCTGTTATTTGGGCTTTTTCTATGATTCTTTGATCCTGACAATCATCTTTATTTCTTCAATCTCTCAATTTTTACTAGCATCATGAGATAGCCATTAGGGAAATTAACCCGTCTGAGATCCCACTCTCATTGAACCCTACACAATTTCCCCTTGTACTCTGCTGATAATACAAGCTTGAAGGGCAACTGTTGATATCCAGTTAGAAGTGAACTAATGGCTAGCAAGCAATTTCCTCACAATGTTGGCAACTTAATACTTTCTGGGAAATTTCTGGTAGGGTAAGTAGTCTACAATAAGCCTCACGAGTATTTTTTTTTTGTTTGACTGATCAAGCCCTCTCTCTACTTTGACGTGTCCATCAATCAGGTTTGAAATGTTCGGTGAAGCTCAACGAGATCTAACACCCGAATCGGCCACTGAGAAGTTGCGAGCGGCAGGCTGGCAGCGCTTCAACCTTATCATAGATAGAAAGTAAATTCTAGACAGAGATAAAAATCTCAATTTTCTCACTGTCAATAGTCTAATGTATGTAAAACAACATATCATCAATTGAGTGTGGTTATTGTTCTTGTCTGAAAGGCCACCTTCACCTGCACCACAAATCTAGACCAAGATACACATCATCCCTGACATGATTTCCCAGATGGGAAATCTTGTAAATTTTAGGGAAATCCTGTAAAAAAATTAAAGATTTTTCCATATTTTTTAGATTTTCCTGAATTTTTCAGATTTTTCCAGATTTGTTCAGATTTGTTCAGATTTTTTCAGACTTTTCAGATTTTTCTAGATTTTTTAGATTTTTCTAAATTTTTAAGATTTTTCTAGATTTTTTAGATTTTTCCAGTTTTTTTTAGATTTTTCCAGTTTTTTCTAGATTTTTTAGATTTTTCTAAATTTTTAGATCCTTCCGGAATTTTTGGGAATTTTTTAGATTTTTTCAGATTTTTCTAATTTTCCAGATTTTTTAGATTTTTTTGGGCATTAATAAAAAAACACGGTTTTTCCGCGTTTACACGCGGTTTTGCTGCGGCACAGCGCACACGGTTTCGTAATTAATTTTTTATGGGTTATTTTTTGAGTTTTTTTGAATTTTTAAAGTTGTTTCCTACACTATAAACGGCGTAGAATTTAATGGTAAAAACCATTTTTCATAAAAATGAATTTTGATTATTAACTATTTTTTTCACTCATTTCTCAATTAATTGTTTGCATACATGTATGTACCTTATTTTTTATGTTTTCTTAAAATTCTAAATTTATTTCCTAGGTTTTAATATGCGTAGAATATAATGGCGCAATCCATTTTTTTTAAAACTCAACGGTATACTTTTAATACTCAAATTACACCCATTTTTTCACTTAATTTTTTACAGCTTAAATTTCATCATTTTTTGACATTTTAAATTTATTTCCTACACTCTAAGACATGTAGAAAATTATGGTAACAACCATTTTTCCCCAAGTTGAAAACTATACCCTGAATGCTGCATTTGACATGTTTTTTTAATTAATTCATCACTTTTTCACCTGATTGTTTGCAGACATGTGTGTACCTTATTTTTTATGCTTTTTTGAAGTTTTGAAGTTGTTTCCTACATTTAAAAGTTTGTAGAATTTAATTGTAACATCCCAATTTCTTAAAACTCAACGGTTCATTTTTAATACTGAAACTAGACACTTTTTTCAATCAATTCTTTACATGTTATTTCTCAACATTAGTTGACATTTTAAGTTTATTTCCCACACTTTAATACATTATCAAAATGATGGTAACAACCATTTTACATAAAAATCAGCGCTTGTTACTGAATACTGCGTTGGACAGGTTTTTTTTAATGTTTTTTTGATTGATTTTTACCGGCCTGATTTTAAGCATTTTTTGAAATTTTAAATTTATTTCCTACATTTACAAATTTTTAGAATTGAATGGTGAAGTCCAATTTCACTAAAAATACAAGCTTCAATCTTAATAGATGAGTGTACCCCGTTTCTTGCATAATTTGTACCATATACAAATTTTATTTGAATGCAAAATGGATACAGCCATCAATTTTGAAACCTTTCAAAGTGTAGGAAATGAGCTTGAAATTCCAAAAAATAAGGATAATTGAGCGTGTAAGAATGAATTTGGGAAACAAGTCAAAGGCATTATTCAAGACATAGTTTTCATTTTGATAAAAATCCATAGTTACCATAATTTTATAAATGTTTGAAAGTGTAGGAAAAGAATTTAAAATGTCAAAAAATAATGAAAAATAAGCTGTTAAAAATCAATTGAAAAATATGACTCATTACAGTATTCAGTATGAACCATTGAGTTTTATGGAAATTAAATGTTACCATTAAATTCTACACACTTTTTGATGTAGGAAACAAATTTAAAATTTCAAAAAAGCATAAAAAATAAGGTACACACATGCATGCAAACAATTAAGTGAAAAAGTGATGAATTAATTAAAAAAACATGTCAAATGCAGCATTCAAGGTATAGTTTTCATTTTGGGGAAAAATGGTTGATACCATAATTTTTTACATGTCTTAAAATGTAGGAAGAAAATTTGAAATGTCAAAAAAGAATGAAAATTAACCTGTAGAAATTTAAGTGAAAAAATGTGACAAACTTCAGTATTAAAAATGAACCGTTGAGTTTTAAAAGATTTGGTTGACACCATTAAATTCTACACATATTGAAACCCAGGAGATAAATTTCAAATTTCAAAAAAGCATAAAAAATAAGGTAAAAACATGTATGCATACAATTAATGGAAAAAATGAGTAGAAAAAAAAAATAATTAAAACTCATTTTTATGGAAAATGGTTTTCACCATCAAATTCTACGCGCTTTGAAACCTAGGAAACAATTTTAAAAATTCAAAAAAACTCAAAAAATAAGCAGTAAAAAATTAATTAAAAAACCGTGTGTAAACACGGAATCCGCGTGTGCTGCGCGCAGCAGAAACCGCGTGTAAACGCGGAAAAACCGTGTTTTTTTATTAATGCCCATTTTTTTTAGTTTTTTTCAGATTTTTTGGACTGGTTAATTCTTTTTTAATTTTATAGATGTCTCTTGCAGAAAAATCTGGAAAAATCTAAAAAATTTAAAAAATCTAAAAAATCTAGAAAAATTTAAAAAATCTGAAAAAGTCTAAAAAATCTGAAAAATCTAAAAAATGTAGAAAAATCTAAAAAATCTGGAAAAATCTTTAAATTTTTTGGCAGGATTTCCCTAAAATTTACAAGATTTCCCATCTGGGAAATCATGTCAGGGATGATGTGATAGATTAACTAAGAGAAAATAAAAAAGAAATATAGAGAAAATGAGGAAAATAATCAAAATCAATTATATACCAACGATAAATCAAAATTCAATCAAGAATTGATGTTATTCTTTCATCAATATTATTATCCAAAGGTTTTGTGGGCATAATCACCTTTTCCAAACCAATATAACTGGCAAGCTCTAATCCAGCTCTGGTTCTTGCAGGCTGCGCCAGGAGCTATAGTATAATCACTCTGGTAATGACCATGTAATTGAGGAATGTATTTCCTTAAAAACTAGCATCATTGAAATATACCCGAATCTTGAAATTTATTGGCTTTTTAATGCTTCTGTAGCTTGAGTTTATCTGTTCAGTTATCAATTGGTAACTATTTACCACCCTTGGAATATCAGAATATTTACTTTTGGCCTGGTAGCCCGTGTGACGGATTAATTGACCAAATAAATCATGTAGTCAAGATCGAACTCAAGTCCCTCGAAGAAGGTTCCGCCGAATCAAGAAGCTGTGTAGCAAGATGTCTCAAGCTGACTTTGCTTTCTTCAGAATCCAAAGCAAGGCACACCTTCGGCATTGGGTCGTTTGTACAGCCGAAACTTGGCATGAGCCAACTCAATCTCCATAAGATGAGCAATACAAGGGAGTCAAAATCCAATGCACTCACAAACTCGGGGCATTTGAATATATTTGATGTGCTGTGCAGCCCCGATATATTCCCAATGGACCATGCTTTTCTGCACCAACCAAACCAGTGGCAGTTGCCAAGAAAACCAGATATTGGCGCGTGGAGGCAACCAAGGAAAGCCAGCAAGCAAGCATCCGGTGGCAATGATGGCATGACTCATGTCACATATGGGGAATTGTCCCAGTGTATCCCTATACCATACCCCTAGACGCATCAAATTTGGGCTGATTGGTTCTTTGAGCACCAGCTTAAACTTGGGAAAGGAGTTTCTTATGAGAGATGATGAGGGATTTATCTTATCAGGGCGGTTGTCCCGGGCACACCTGCTCCGAATTTTCTGTGTCTACATACTCGTCCTCCTGAACCCCTCAGTTTTATTTAAGTAAATGCCATTGGGGTCTTTCGAGCTCCTTCGTCTGGTTTATTATTCAACATCGTACATTGTTTTATCAAACCGATTTTTGCTTTCCACGCCTCACTATGAATGCTTCATCAGATGTTGCCCATGATCAAGTTTTACTGATGTCAAGGGTGGTGGAGAACCTGAGTACCGAACCCGTTACACACTCTCCACAGCAAGAACCTCCACACGCATCAACTGATGGATATTCCGTTCAAGCTGAAACCTTTGAGTTTGAAGTAATTACGCCCTATGATCAAGAACCTCATTCTCGTGAGTTTTTCGGTAACGAAATCCATCTGTATTATCTGAGATCCTGATCTTCTTCACCTCTGACATGTCGACTGGTTGAACATCGCTGTCGCGTATGTTATTTCCAGAAATTTGCTTGGAAGAAGAAGGTTTGGAATTGTTAGACATTGGAGGCTCCGCCGAATTGTTTTCGCCAACGCATATGGGCCCTCACCATGGGGTATATTCTATTGATCACGATAAGATTGAGGATTATTATCTATCGCATCGACCCGAGCGGCGTAATGTTTATCCATTGCCTTCCGGTCGTCAACCATGGTTGATCCCGAGCTTGGAGCCTTTGATTGCAGATGTTGCTTTGGCTAAAAGCAGGTAATCTCCGGCAACTTCTTTCAATCCCACGACATTGCTAATACAGAAATGGTTCTGATTCTTTTCGAAATGATCGGGTCCCTTCCATTTCTGGCGATCCCATCTTAGATTATTGATAACCAAGACGCACTGCTTGTACCCCGAAAAATCAGCTTTGATACCGTTTTCGAGTTGTTTAATAGGTGCTTTTGACCTTCTATTATAATACGACTTGAGGCTGAACCGTCTAAATTAGGACAATGATTGGAATTTAAGAGCTAACCATTCTAACCTTATGCCCCCGGAAAATGTTTTCCGAACACAAAAATAGGTTTTCGACTTGTTGTCCATCCATGTCACCCCAAAGCAAGACTCAAACACGTCAAGATAACACTAACCCTACATGCAAAGGAGCCAGGGCCCACCAGTTCCTCGCCTATCATCAAAGTTAATTATTTCCACCATCTTTCTGACTTATTCATGTGTTTTGTTTTTTTCATGAAGTTCTATGATAGGTGATGTTAAACTGACACCTTTTCCTCTTCATTCTGCCCCCAACAAGTCAATTTATCCGCTTGATGGTCGAATTCATGAAACTGGTGAAAGAACATCGGTTCATGCCATGCGGGAAAATTCAGTTAGATTAAACTTGGGAGTAGACCCGGTGAGCCGTATCTCTTTGGTGAAGAATTTTGGTTTTGCGATTACCACAATACTATGACCAGCAGCTTCTCTCCCACGTGGATATAAAACCTAACTCTTCGTGATCGCCCGAAACTCTCAGTATGGCACCGCGACACTCACTCATGCTCAATCCGTTGCACAAGGCAGTTACACGGTACCTTATGTTCTCAGCTCCGGGGTAAATACTAACATTCTTTTGATTACCATGGATGAAGATAGTTCCTTGAAAGGGGGAGTGGCGTGCGTTTAATGAACATTTTTTTAATATACAAATTGAAACTAAAGATTATTGATTGCTGTTTCTGCTGGTTCATTTCTCCTAAAAATGAATACTCTGTGAAAATGGAGCAGTCCTTCTTTATACTTTGCTGCCTTGCTTGAGTTTCCAACCAATACTGCAAAATCTTTCCAAGCTCACCTACAGGTTGCCTCACAGGCTCAAAAGGATCACCCATTCAAGATGTGGTGTAGCCCAAAGTGGGTATGGGGCTGTTATTCTGCTCACACTCCTTTTGAACTTATGTCTTATCTTCCAGTTATCTTGGCTCTCTAACTCTGTTTGCTTTCCTTTTTTTTTTCAGGATTTGGAGTTTAGATTACGATGGTCAAACTGAATTGGGTAGTTTGGAATTTGGCGCATAGATTTCTGTTCAATAGCTCTCCCAACATATGTGTAAAAAGCCAAGCAGATTCTAGTGTTCACAGTTAATCATCATTTGGACAGAATTATACAGCCAATTTTGTTTGAACTGTGGCGAGTATAGCTGTGCATTTAAATCCTTCTCATTTTTCCTTTGCCACTTCTGAAAGGATTTCAGCACAGAAATTTATACTGGCTTTCCCAAAAAGGTGAGAATTCCTAGATAATCATTCAAGGATTTAAGTATGGAGAATAAAAAAGAGAACAAATTTCACACACATGAGCTGTCAGAATTGTTTACATGTTTTGAATTGATCTGTACTTTTCCTAGAACAGCTTAATTGACTATCCTTCTTCTGGTTACAATTTCATCCTTCCAGGCTTCAGTGAGTTTTAAAAATCCTGGATAATCAGGAAAAGATTGCAAACATGCAGATATTCCTTGCCACATCCATTCAAGACCATCCAGTTCAATTCTTGGTTTTACAGCTATCATTTTGTGTGTTGAAAATTGGGATGATTCAATACATTCTACAGCACAAATCATGGACTATAAATCTACACACTACATACCCTTATGAGTGATCAGATTATTGTGGAAAATTGTGGGGTCTGTCAAAGCCCACCTCAAGGTCAAAACTGAAATAAAAAATACTTGCTGGAGTTAGACCAACAGCCCCAATGCATTGACCTCTGTCCACACATTTCTTCTCATCTGATGTGATACCCTGATTGTTGTTACCTCTGGATCTTTTATTTTATTTTCCTATCCTGATAATTCCCCATGGGTTTCATGGGATATCTGATGAAGTTTCTGCATGTCAAATTGTTTGAGTTGTCCAAATGCTCTACACTATGGGTGCACTTGGGTGTCCTGGGGACATCACACAAGAAAACATCCCAGGTGTGTCCAAATCCATTTCAAGACATCTGCTGTCACAATAGCCTCGCAACAAGGCTCTTCTGATGGCATTTTCTGACCTGGGAAGGCTCTGGGACAATGCCATCCCCGGGCTGTATCTGAAATCCCAATTTGAACCCGTGTTGTACATATTCTTCTTGTGTTGTTGTAGTATGACTCACATTGGTCTTCTCCGGAGTGCTTTTTTGCTTTGCCTTGATGCTTTTGTATAAGGTCAAGTAATGGCTGCTCCATTCAACTTTGCTGAGACATGTATGTATCACAGCAAAAAAATGATATCTGCTGCTTTTCTTTCATCCTCCAATTTTCCCTAACTTGGTGCAGTGGCCATTAGGCACATTATCAATGGCTGCCCTTCAGCACATAGCCCATTTGAGGTGTCATTGAGCCTCATGTAATTTCTCACCATATGTACCCTGCTGATTAATCTAAGCTTGAACTTGAAGGGATTGATACTGAGTTAGAAATGAACTATGTATGTAGCAGCCAGCAAGCAATGTCTGCACCCTTTGCAACTTGATACTGTCTGGAAGAACAGTGCACAGCAGCATCGTGCATGCATGGCAGAGGCACTATGAACCAAGGCAAGAGAGTAGTTGGTCTTTTTTCTTCTTTCGGACCTTCCAGGTCATTTATCAATTCTTCTGGTCATGGCACAAATGACCGCTCACTTGGTGACCAAGAGCTTTCATGACGATCCGTCGTTGGAGGGAATATCGATAGTGGGAATCTCATTCTGCTAAGAAAACAATGAAATTATCATAGATAAATTGGGGGCGCGTGGTGGCCGACATAGGCAATGAGGTTCAGTCTATGAAGAAGTGGTGCATAATGTTGTGGGGGAGAACAAGGAAACACTTGGACGATTCGAAATTTAGAAACGACGTTCATCTCGGGAGAACGCAACATGATTGGTGGAGTGGGTGCATTGCGTATTACCGGCCCACAGGCTTCAGAATCATGGGGCATAGGAGTGGAGCAGGCACAAAGCAGCAGGAGCAGATCAATTTTTACGAAACGGCTTGGATAACCTTTCGAATCATTAATGTTGGGCAACGGCGGCCGCGTGTTTTCGCGACTTGACAGCTGCCAGTTTGGCTTTGCGCTCAGCTTGGCGCTTGGCCACAACCTCCTTGTACTCAGCGATTTGAACTTTCTGGGCCTCATTGCGACGACGGTTCAAAGATCGGAGATGTCTTCGGCGTTGAAGACGGATCTAGAAGTGATGAGGGTGAGTTGATTGGAGTTCAGCAAATACTCAATGACTAGGTCAAGATGCGGCGATCACTTACCGGAGTAACCAATCGCTGGATCTTGGGGGCCTTGGTGTAAGGCTTGGCGTCCGGGTTCTTGGCGCTCTTGACTTCACGGCGAACGACAAATTTGCGGACGTCATCTTCCTTGGTCAGGTTGAAGAATCGGCGGATCTTGGTGGCCCGCTTAGGACCGAGACGGCGGGGGAGGACGGTGTCGGTCAATCCGGGGATGTCGTTGTCGCCTTGCTTGATTACAATGAGAGACAAAGCGGCGATGTCGGAGGCGACGATGCATCCGCGGACGGATTTACGTTTGCGCTCACCAACCCGACGGGCACGGAAACAAGAGTGGCCTTCGCCGAGCAAAAGGCGAACACGCTTGGGTGTCAGGACACCTTGCTTCATGGGGAACTGAGTGGAACAGCCAAAAGCATCAGTGCCTTGTGGCTGATTCACGCTCGGATCAAACAGCACTCACACCCTGCTTGTCGTTTCCTCCCGAGATCCTGAAAGTGTATCCCTTAAACTCATCTCCGAGGGCATCAGCCTCAACATCCTGTCCCATCCCTGTTTTTTTTTTTGTTTCATGTATGCAAAATGGTGATCAGAGAGCGGGCATGATTAAAAGGGCCGTCAACTGTGGCAAGGATTGGGAGAAGTTGCCTACGTTTTTCGTAGAAGATTCGGGTCCTGCGCTCGTCATCGATCTCGATACTCTTTTGTTGACCGGTGGCTGGGTTGGCGATGTTGAGCTTCATGGTGGTCGGTTGTGTGTGGCCTTCACGTTCGGAGGGAAGACTGGGGAAGGAAGTAAGCGTTCAAAGTCTTGAGTTACTATTTCCTAATTACTGTGAGTTCAACATCAGGTTCCTGTTGGCCAACTTACGAGTGAAGTGTTCGTCAGCGATGAGGGTCAGCCGGAGCGGGTGCGAGTGGGATGCCGAGCTTGGGTGGTTGCCCTGCTGCGCACTGTGTCAGGCGGGGGGGCATCTGCTGAGGGGGGCCGCAGCGGTTAGGTTAACGCAGTTGTGGCTATCACACCCCAGCCAGTCGGATCCGACAACTGTCCGGCCACCACCCAGCCTGCCCACACCGGGTGAGCACACGACCGATCAACCATAGCAGACACCGACTCGACACCGACACCGACCACCGACCGCCTCAAGTCACGAGCTCGGTGAGCCTTACTTGTTCTGTGCCATGTGATCCACATCACTTGAGGCTTTTCTGGCATTGCTAGACTTGTCCTGACGGCCATTGTTTTCTGATAACCCTTCTGGATCGACAAATCAACAGCCCCGTCTCAGGAAAACTCTCAGCAATTCATCATGGTAAGGTCACTCTGCCACTCACCTGTTGACTTTGATCGACCCACAGTCATTGAGCATTAACTAACTCCCAATTAACTTCCACCACAGGGTCGCATGCACAATCCCCACAAGGGTATCGCCGGTTCTGCTCTGCCCTACAAGCGAACCCCAGCACGATGGCTCAAGGTGACCGCTCAAGAAGTCTCAGAGCAAATCTTCAAGTTGGCCCGTAAGGGTATGACCCCCTCCCAGATTGGTGTCGTCCTCCGAGACAGCCACGGTATCGCTCAAGTCAAGAGTGTCACTGGTGCCAAGATCCTCCGAATCCTTAAGGGCAACGGTTCGTTTTCACCTTCTCTGTACCCTCAACAGCCTTGATCTTGAACATATTTGGTCTAACTTCATCATGTCCGTGTTTAGGTCTCGCCCCTGAGATCCCTGAGGATCTCTACCACCTCATCAAAAAGGCAGTCTCCGTCCGAAAACATTTGGAGCGAAACCGAAAGGACAAGGACTCCAAGGTATGCTCGCGCTCACTTTGTTTTTCCCATTTGGTCGTTGGCTTATCATCTTTCGCCTCTCCAGTTCCGTCTCATTTTGATCGAATCCCGAATCCACCGTCTGACTCGATACTATAAGACCAAGTCCCAGCTCTCGCCTTCCTTCAAGTACGAGAGTGCCACCGCTTCTACTTTAGTATCATAAGCCATTAATACCCACGAAGCTGCTCGAGCCAACTATCTCGCATGTCCTCTTAGCTATCGTGAAATTACTACTTATGTTCCTCAAATCATCTACATATGCCGAACATCACCCAAAATGCATGCCATCAATGAACTGTGATCCATGATTCCATAATAGAAATGTGACATGGTTTAGATGGGGTCCAGATTTGAGTGCCAAACCGCCTTCAGTCGTTGATTCTGATCGATCCTATTTCGCTATGAGCATCGAAGCTGGTGTCTCCCAGCATTTGAAATGGCTCTTGCCCCAGAGTAGACAGGGAGTCTCCTGTTTCCATGGAATCAGACCTCCTCCACGAGCCTGTTTTCGAAGGGTGGGCCGGGCAGCACCAGCCATGTAAGACATTTCACATGCTTGAAGCAAGACGATGCCCTCGAGACGTGCAGAGGGACAGGATCCCTGTGAGCTGTCTCCTGATTCTTGAGGATGGAATAGAAGTGAATACATGTTTTTTATGTATTTACTAGTTTGCAAGCCAAATCTCCTTGCTTTTGAATCATTCATAGTGCAGAACTTGATAAGAGGCTTCTTTTCCTGGACTGTATTGCTATGTGACATATGCATCTAAGATGATTATGCTCTCCCAGATACAGAACTGATAAATACGAAAATGATGTCAAAAGGGCCATTTGCAAGACCCATGTTTTTGTTTTACCTAGGTATTGAATGATATTCAATCCAATGGTCTGATTTCTCCTTTTCTATGTTGTTCAAAATCAACTTTGTGTTGTTGACAAAAATAAGCCATTCCAAAGTAGTGATAGGATAGTGTGTTTTTCTCACTCACTAAAGAAAAAAAAAAACAATGATAATTGCCATGTATTTATCCTCAAGCAAAATTTCTGCACAGTTACTGTGCATTGAGGTTCAGTTGAAGAAATTGCTGAGTGGCATCTTGGCAACAACCTAACTTGCATGTTGACTGGCAGCAGTTTGTTGAGATTTTTTCAGTGTGTTAGGTACGCTTTCAGGTACAACTAGAAGCAGTCCTGACACTGATTTGAAAATCCTGTTCAAACACATTCAGGGGTATCTAACTGGTTTGGAAAAATCCACCATTTTTACAGCTGGTTGGTTCTTCATTTGAGGCCCATTGATTCAAAGTCTTATTTTTGGAAAGGTAACTGGTTTATAATGGCAGATTTATTATGTTTGATCCCCCCTATTGGAACTATTCTTGCAATTATGTTCAAATTCAAATAGCTAAACTTTTCCTTAATGAAACAATCCAAAACTTTGCCTGGGTCCTGTTATTTTGAGCTTCTTGTAAGCTGACAGCTCCCTGCCCATTATTGCTTCACATTCTTATACTTGGAACCCAATAAGGAATCTTGAACACCATAAATCCTTGAAATTAATAATTATGACAAATCATTTTCCAAAGATATTTATGTTCTTCAGAGCTTCTCAATGCATATAGGATTCTGTACTTGTTTTGACACCCAGGCACAAAAAGCAAGGATAACTACTCTACTCTGGCTTCAGTTTCCTAAGTAAACTTTATGGCTAAAACCCTATTTTTTTCTGCATGGACTCTTACATTCCCTCCTGAGGTGAATTAAACATGAAGCATCATGCTTCAATTGCGGATCATTTGGGCTGACATATGTAGATACAAAGTTCTGGTAATTTGTTGGAGAATGGAGGTCTCAAGTAACTAGGAGAAAAACATTTTTCTTCCCTCTGTTTGGAGAGCCCTGTCTCTTTTTGTGACTGGTCAAGTGCTGATCTCCCAAAGTTCAATCTCTCAGGGTAGCTATCCAATCAGAGGTTTGTGTTTTCTTATGGTTACCAGACAGTCAAGACGAGTAAATACATAAAATGGTCCATTCAAAACCAATAATGTCAGCTATATACATATAAAAACAAATCTTCCAAATGTGCAAGGTAGAAAATCCCTTGGCTACCAAACTTATCGAGGCCTGTGAGCACAAAGCTACTACTTTAGGGGTGACACACATGAAGTTTACACACATTTGCTTGAAAAAACATTCAGACAAAGGTATTAGGTGTTTGAAGATGAAGGAAAATATGCAGAAGATCAAAGACTACAACGAATATTTATTTATAATCAGCGAAACTAAGGACAAGGCTTATTTTCTTCAAGATCAGGTGAGAGTTTGAGTGATGTTACGCCCCCGAGAGGACTATTGTCAGTATGATCAACTCTATGAATTTCCTCCTGGAACAAAATCTCCCTAATGCCTTTCCAAACGGTTACCAAATACTTCACTGGAGGTTGAAGATGCTATCAAAGATGAGGTCGAACGTCAGTTCTGAAAACATGAGCTGGCTCGTAATCACATCCAGCAGAGAAAAGCAGGGAGGCTAACATTAAAAACTTGTCGAATATACATTGGAGCTCCGTCAGGCTCAATGATCAATCCAAGATAGAAAGCAATATCCCAGCCTACAATGGCTTCATGAATGATTGCTTGGCGTATATGTTCACGTGCAACGAATCGGCGTGTCACCCTCACGAGGTTTGTGGAACTCAATTGGATGCCTAAGGGACCCAGGATTAGAACGCTTTCTACGAGAAGGAAGAAGAAAATTTGCTCAATAAGTTCGTGTACCACGCGAAGGAAGCAAGGAAACGAACCTGAGTACACTTTGGTCAATTTCCTGTAAATCCAAGCAATCGCGAAAATCAATAATATCAACGCCGGAAGAGAGGGCCAAGTCTAAGAGCGATCCAAAAGAAGAGTCAGTTAATAATTATCAAACACTAGTTAAGGGCCTATGTATGTACTGACCATACACGTGATGAGGACTGAGATGGTGCCTATGATTAACGCATCCTGATAAATTCGAATGACCGGTCGATTTGAGTGGAGCGAATAGAGCCTGGTGGTTGGACCGAGGTGCTGGATAGTCAGTGTCCACTCCCTGGAAGATGATGGCTGCATTCCATCTTTCCGGGTCAACCTCTTGTTTTTTTTTTTGGTAAAAAGACTGGGGAGCTCGTGCGTCGGAGCCTGGATGTGGAGTGGCAGTGGTTTGAAGCAGGAGGTGCGGGACAGAGGCAGCGAGCGGTGCGCTCACTTCATTCGGCTCAAACTTACACCCGGACCACCATCTCGGACCTGCACCACTCCCCGGATGGCAGAACAGATTCATACAACGTACGAGTAAGTCACTTTTCGTCAATCTATAAAATCAGTTTTGTTTTTGAGCTGGACTGATGTGAACTCTTCTTCTTGGGAATTTTGCCATCAGAACGTGGTCACCTCTTGGAATCGTGAATTAACTGTTAAATCAAATGTCGCAACCGAATCCGCAGGTTGGGAAGTCATCTCATGGCCGACGAAGGTTAAACATTGCGTAAGTTCCAGAGAGCCCATGTTTGTATTTCTTGAACTACCAATTTGGATGGTACCAGATCGGTTTAGTTAGTGGTACTACCAAATTTGAGTGTCTGTTGACCACTCTCCGAGCAGACCTAGTTCCTGGATCGCGATAAATGGTGACGCTTGTTGTATCGCTACTACTGTAGGATGGCGTCCGATTACTTCTACCCAAACGTCGGCGGCGTCGAGTCTCACATTTACATCCTTTCTCAAAAATTAATTCAACGCGGACACAAGGTAGTGTGACTGTTTTTCGAATTCAAATAGGGCGCCGAATTCACGATCATAAGGCGACTGACAACAAGGCCCATGTTGAGTGACTCTTCCCAGGTTATCGTCATCACCCACGACTATGGCGATCGTTGCGGAATTCGACACTTACCTGCCGGCCTCAAGGTATATCATATTCCAATCGGTACTTTACCATTCTCTTCAACCGCAGCGACGGTTCCGAATTTGTTCGGATGTCTACCTCTCGTTCGAGCAATCCTGCTTCGGGAACAGATTCAAATCTTGCATGCCCATCAAGCGCTTAGTTCCGTTGGACTGGAGGCGACTATGCATGCCAAAACGCTTCAAATCGGGATCCGGACGATCTTCACAGATCATTCACTCTTTGGTCTCGGAGGTGGTGGCTGGGGTGAAGTGAGTGGAAATAAAATCGTCAAGGGTATCCTGAGTGATATCGATGGTGTGATTTGTGTCAGTCACACTGGGTGCGCATCAAATTCAATTTGCAAATATCTTCTCAGAATATGGCCTGACTGTTTTGTTTCTGTGACTCAAACCTGGATCTATTTGTGACGCTTAAATTTATGATCATTGATGGTTTTCAAAATGTCATTCACCAGGAAAGAAAACACGGTTTTAAGAGCCATGTTGAATCCCGATATAGTCTATGTAATACCCAACGCCATCGTTGCCGACAGCTTTCAGCCTGACCGAAATAAATCCCGTTATTCCGGTGGTCCATGTAAATCATCCTCATTGATTTTCAAGCTCACATCAAAATTGTTAACTGAGACTTGGTTCTGGGCGACCCTTGGAAGCCAACCTATTTAGTGACAATCGTCTGTGTTTCTAGGTTAGCATATCGCAAAGGGATCGACCTTCTAATAGCCGCGATCCCGAAATTGTGTAAAAAGTATCCGACAATCCGGTTTTTGATAGGTAGATTCTGCCTTCTCCGACCTACTCAGCACTCTACCAACTGCCTAACTTGATCCTTCTTTCCAAACAGGGGGAACAGGACCAAAGCTAATTGAACTAGAACAGATGAAAGAAAAATATCAAACAGTAATCAAACCTGATCAACTTCGGATACTTGGACCGATTCGAGCAGATCAAGTTCGGGACCTTATGGTCCAAGGAGATATCTTCTTGAATGCATCGTTGACTGAGGCATTTGGGATGACCCTTTTGGAAGCCGCATGTACCGGATTGCTTGTTGTGTCAACACGGGTTGGAGGAATACCTGAAGTACTTCCTGAAGGATTGATTGAGTTTGCTGAACCCGAAGTAGATGGTATGTTTTTTTGTGTGTTCATCATGATTCACAAGAATTTTGCAATAAACCCCTGCCCATTTATTAATATTTCTACGCCACTCAGACCTGGTTCGTGCCACTGAGAGGGCCATCAAAGTCATTCAATCCGGAACCCACGACCCGCAGAAGGTTCACGAAAGAGTTCGGGGAATGTACAGTTGGACTGACATTGCAGCTCGAACGGAACACGTATATTATGAAGCTTTCAAGATCGAGCCCGCTCCATTAATTGAGAGATTCCGAAGGTGAGCAGAATGTACCATATCATCTTACATGCTAACTTTTTTTATTATTATTTGTCTGAGCTTCATGCACCCTGGCTGAGTTGATTGCTGGCTTTTCTTGGACAGATACTACGGATCAGGAAGCATTTTTGGGAAAGTGATGTGTATCGTTGTGATGTGTCAGTATATATTTATGGGCATCTTGGATTGGTGGCTACCACGAGAGCAAATTGATTATGCACCCGATTTCAACTATGACGCTTACATTCAAGTAAGCCACTTACCTGCCATTTTTAAAAGAAAAATATTCGATCCTGTGCTGTTTGTAACGAAATGTAAACATTACTGATTGTCTTGTTATTTTGTCACCCTATTTTGACAGGCTCATGGTATAGATTGATTATACCCTCAATTTTTTTTTTTTTGTCAAATCTCAATTATCAGTCAAGTAATATATCTGGGAAGGACCCGATTACATTTGTCTGATTGAGAAAACTGCCGCCAGTCAATCAGACCATATGCTTGACAATGAAGGAAGGGGATGTCAAGAAATCGAATAACCTGCAAGGTAATAGTATGTACGAGTCGACATTGTGCACAAGTTGTAGAGTATTGTAAACAACTCGGTGTCATTTTTCAACGTGGTTCAATCAGCGAAAATTCGGACACAGTTTCACAGGTATCCGGCCTGCTGAAACAAGTGGCTTGTGAACAGTTTATAGCTTAGTGAATAACGGCATCACAGGACTTGTTGTCACTCAATCGATGGAGTCGGTGTGTCGCCATGCATCTGCATCCCTTGAGCCAGTCTGCTGTGGCATCTTGGTGTGGCCAGGCAAGTCTAGCTGCTATATGTTCCAGGTGACATATATTCATAGCTGCCAGGATAGCAACCTATGGCAACCTGAGCATTGAGTTTTACTCTTCATGGAAAGCTGGGCCCAGGGCAACGCTCACAAGGTTGTAAATTGGAAAGCTTCTCACACAATTCTATCAGAGCAAGCTTTCATTCCCTACACAGTCACACTTGCCTATTAAGCATTCGATTCCATCCGTGACGCCGACAGCTGGAAAGTGGTTAAAATGGATTCATAGACTGGAAGACATCACCCGCGATGATGTATCGGTAAAATGCGGTTGCCATGGGTCGCCTCAATAAACGTCGTCGGTCACTATCTTTACCCATGTGGTTGTTTCTCGGTCAACTTGAGTGCGGTAAATAGGTTGACTAAAACAAGGCCTTGGCGCCCGAACACCTCTCATTTACTTGCTTTCTTCGCCCCCTGTTCATCGCCTTCGTAGTGAAGAGCATGTCCTCAGAGGGTTTCATGAAGAGGCCGCCTCTTTGATACATGATGACTCCACCATTGCTTCCCTCAACACAGGTTTCCAACTGCTGAAAGAAGGAAGCGCATTCTGATCCATCCATCTACCAACGTACATAACCATTTTGTTCCGAAGACAACTGCAACTACATTGGACAATCAACAGACGACTTGAGTCTTGACAAAGGACATAAAGCAAGTGGATATCCTTTCGTGGTTCCCGTTGCAACAGACGAATAATCTTAATTGACATGCCGGCACGTCTATTCGCATTACGCCTATCTTCGATCTGATCTCTTTTAACAAATCACTTATCACCCTTCAGTTGGAGCCCTTCAAGGTCTCAAGAAATTTGACTACAAAAGTATCGTAAAGCTGTCTTGAACCTCCGAGGCGCCACCAGCTTGCACAGGTGTGGACCCTTCTTCTTGTACACAGTTGCGGGAAATTCTGAGATACAGTTTCCCCAGAACGACCAGAATACAGTTTCCCAGAGTCCCCCCCTGAACAACCGGCAAAAGTGCAATTGAATAGCAGATGCAGAACCCTCTATACAAAACAGGGCATCGGTCTGGTTTGGACTCCACTGTCAATAGCGAGTTTGATGATAACGTGGACAAGTATAGGGAGCTCAGGACGGAATCCTTCTTAGGTTACCTCAATCGAGGGAACCCAGAAGGCTTGAATAGTCCAGTTCCATCACTACCGGACCTTCCGGATCCAATTCCCCGTACTGAAAATCATCCTGTGTTGGCGTACAAGGTAGAAACTTCTGAGGCCCTCAATCAACCCATCAGTACACACAATACTTCACAATATTCCCCTCAAACTTCAAGGAATGTATTCCAGACCAATCTTCTAAGCGACGAATATCGTCGACTATCACCAGCCACTCCCTTCGCCGACACGCCCACACAGGACACAAGAGCACTAACACCACTGATCATAGACCCCCCGACAGCTATCTCTCGCCATTCACACTATACCGTTGGATCCGGATTGGGGGATCCATCTGACTGTGACGCTTACCGATACTCAGGCATGAGCTTTGGAGACCAACCACTTAAAAGTAGGGTAAGCACCTCATCTGAATATTAGGGTTATCACTTGGAATAATCATATCACACTCCTCGATTATAGACGTTCAGTCAAGTAAGTTTCGAATTTTGATTGACGCCCACTCTCCGGCTTGTAATATTTTCCATCAAATCAGGTGAATAGGACAGTCAAACCTTCCCGTCGGAAACGCGCAATATTCATAGTCTCTGTCGTAGTCGTTGTTTGCACCTGCGCTATCATTGGACTGGTAATCGGCCTGATAACGAAAAATAAAGGCGTGAAACCCGACAGTGATGGCGTTACTAGACTACCACGGGGTGACAAACTTTGGGGTGTCGGTGGAGATACCATTACTGTGAGCTTAGATGCATGTTTCTTTTTTCTTGACACATAAAATTGTATTCTCATTGCGCTTCGTCTCACCAATTCAACAGACGGACAAAGGAAACAAATTTTTATACAACAATACACTAGGCGGCACATGGGTTGGAATTCCTTATAACGATACTGCTCGTCCCCAGGCCAACCAACCAGCACTGAACGAAAGCTGGGATTACTCGAATCACAAAATCCTTGGGGTCAACCTTGGTGGTTGGCTAGTCATTGAACCATTCATCGCGCCTGGTCTTTTTGATCCGTACGTCCAGGAACAGAACCCTCCGAGTGACGAATGGGAGCTTAGTGTCCGGCTGGGAAGTTCCCTGGCAAAGACGATCGAGGCTCATTATGACAGCTTCATCGTAGAAGAAGATTTTGCGCTGATTGCTAGCGCGGGTTTAAATTGGGTTAGGATTCCAGTGGGTTGGTGGATGATTGAGACTATGGGATCTGAACCCTTCTTGGCTGGAGGTAGGCGGTTTTACTATCTCGATATTTTGATGATCCCCGTTCTCTAACAACTTCAATTTTTTTTTTTTAAACTTTGCACCTGCAAAGTTTCTTGGAAATACTTTTTCCGTGCTATTGTTTGGGCAAGGAAGTATGGCCTGCGGATTAACCTCGACTTACACGCCGTTCCTGGTTCTCAGGTACGCGCGCAAATGTTAATATGCTAATCAGAAACCATTACTGAAATCACACAAGACATTCCAATTATTGATGAATTTAGAATGGCTGGAATCACTCGGGTAGATTAGGAACTATCGGTTTCTTGTCAGGGGCAATGGGGATCGCCAATGCTCAAAGAACTCTGAATTACATTCGCACTCTAACTGAATTTATCAGCCAGCCAGAATTCAAGAACGTAGTGCCTATGTTTTCTATCTTGAACGAGCCTGATTTCACCTTGGGGTCAACCAAAGCTTTGGTTTCGTGGTAAGAACACAAGTCCATATCTCTTCAAGAGTTTATTTACCCTTAATGCCTGGAAGCCATGAATTTATTTTTATTTTTTTGTGATTGTATTAGGTACTATGAATCTTACAAATTGATTCGACAGATTGGTGGTATTGGAGAAGGGAACGGCCCATTCATGGTCATTCATGACGCCTTTCAGGGAATCGGAACAGGCGGCCCAGCTAAAAACCCTTGGAGCGGGTTTTTACAGGGTGCAGATAGGATGGGTAAGCCTGCAAATTGCATTCTAGTTCTACATAACCACCAAAGGCGAAGAATCAGAGCCAAAATTGCTAATCTCAACACGAATGATTGAATTTGTTGAAATTACTTGGAATCAAATTAGGGCTTGATTCTCATACCTACTTTGCCTTTACCACCCAGCTAAGCGATGTGAACGCCACGCGGCCTTGTAACGCATGGGCCGCCCGCAGTAACCAGACCATGGAGGGGTTCGGTTTAACGATGAGTGGAGAGTGGTCGTACGTAATTCTCGAACCTCCCAAAAATTCAGAAAGGCATAACGAACTAACTTGTAGTCTCATTCGCTAGATTGGCGCTCAACGACTGTGGACTGTGGGTCCCCAGAACTTCGCAGGATAATGCTTTCGCAGTTACTGAATCAGGCTCTCATGAACATCCTTGAACTCTTGATTTCTCTTGATCACCAAACAGATACGTTAACAATATTGGCTGGGGAGAACGCTACGAGGGTACATATCCCAATGCTACCAGACCGGACCGTAGGTTCCCGAGAATTGGAAGTTGCGAGTGAGTCTATCTATGTCCTTCTTCTTGATCAAGTCGTGTTTTCTCAAAATTACCTGTGTTTGAAGCCAATGGCTTGACCACCGAAAATGGTCTGATACCCAGAAAAAAGCCTTTGCGGACACCGCTTTAGCTTCCCAAGACGCGTTGATCAACTCGTTTTTCTGGACATGGAAAATCGGAAACTCTCTAAGGCAAGACTTCCCGCCCAATCCAATGTGGAACTATAAGCTGGGGCTTGAAGCTGGATACATCAGGTGAGACAGAGTCGAATATTTTTGAAGGAAATGTGCTTCAGTCCTTCAACGATGGCTCACTTTTTTTTTGAAATCCATTTTTTTTTCAACTAAAATTCTGAAAATTGTATCTCTCATTGCTACAACTAAATTAGACCGGATGCACGAACCAGCGCGGGTCGATGTGCGGCAATTACCTCTGAAGCTCAGGTACCACTCACTACATACGATTGGTCAGGGACCTTGGCTTCATGGCAAACAGGTGGCGCGGGAGCGGGCAACATTTCACAAAGTCAAATAGATTCTGTCGGCCCATTCCCGCCAGCAATGATTTTGGGTGCAGCTCCGAGCGGCCAGGGTACTTACAATACTCAAAGCCTTCCTCAGCTCGCTCCAACGGGACCCCCCATAATCCTTAAGCCAATCCCAATCGTAATGGACTCGAAAACGTTCAGTGGAGGGGACGGTTGGTTTAATAAAGCTGACAAAGCCGGATTTTTTGCCCCCATAAATGGCTGCCAATACCTTGATCCTTGGTCTGGCGTTGACGTGCCCGCACCCTCAGCGTGCAGTTCAAATCCTTCGAGCTCGAAGCAACCAAAGCAATCCAATACTAATACTCCAAATTCAAGTTTAAAGGCTTGAATGGAAAACGGAATCTTTGACATAATCTTAACATTTCCTTCACTATCTCTCCCTTTTCACTGAAAACCCCTAAATGTATCGTTGTATTGAACATAATAAAGTTTAACGTGTTGAGTGGTTTTATTTTACAAAAATTTGGACTATGTCGGGCGAGATTTCTTTCTTTCCTAATTCACATGTTTTTGGTTTTTAGAAAAGAGATGCATTCATTTCACATTGTTCTTTCTTTTGATTTTGCAGTAAACAACATTTTTGCAAACTAACACATGATCGCTTCTTGATTATTGGACCAGAATTACTTGTGCATCGCCACTATGCAACAAGCGTTTCTCTTGGTGGGGGGGGGGGGACTCAAGTCCCCCCCTTCTTGCAATATTGGAGTGCTGAATCGCTTGCGCACCTTTCCCAAAGTGCAAGATATGATCACAAAATTAGCGGACAAAAACCACTGCTCCTTTCTTTCCATTTCGTTTTGAGGCAAGCAGACCCTGGGACAAGAAACAACTGAACCGCTACCAGCTATTGTTCCCCTCGCGTCAATCCCTGGCGGCAACCCGGCAACAGCGCATCCTCACTCAAGTCTGGGATGCGCTAAATTATGTGGAGCGAGCTACATAATCAGCCATGTAGCTTCGACATTCTCAATGCTGATTCCCTTCACGGTTTCGGCTTTCTTGGAAGCGCTGTTTTCGGGTTGCAGAACCGCGTGGGCCACACCTGGCCACACAGTTTTTATGACGACTGTGTATGAAACTGGCATATCCATTAAGTTGAAACAGGTTGAAACTCACAAGACTTCAAACTTTTCGAACACCTATCTCATCGCGACCACTTATGTACCATCCTGTCGGCTCCTGTCCAACTGCATAGTGCAGTAGCTTCAGTCGCTTCTAGCTAGGAATGTATCTAATCGAGTAAGCACCAGACGGCGGACTACATAGGTCCTGAAAGCGCGAGACGAGTGTCGTGCCAAAACTGACTGCCCAACCCCAGCGATAATGCGATCCTATAGTAGTGGGTCTGAACCCCGAGGGTGTAATAAGGGCGCACACTGGTCACCCAGTAATCATACACCTCCATGCGATTGACGAACTTATACCATCGTATCTCCTTTCTACATACACCCAAGTCAAAGCAGCTTCATGAGGTTCAGCCGAATTTGCGCCTCGGCCCTATGGACGAGTCTACTCTTAGCGGCGAGTTACGTGGCTATCGAGTCGGAATTGCACGCAGAATTGTGTCAGAAAGAGTGTGGCGGGTTCGCGACGAAAAGACTGTTGGAAAGAAAAACGTGCGGCATTGACTTCCAGTGCGTGCAAAAGCACTACCATCGATGCTTGGCATTGGCGTATCGGAACAGCTATACCTGTAAATCTTGCAAGCACCAATGGGAGCAGCTTGACTGCCCCGTAGATCATGGCACCATTTTCGAATGTCCAAGTACCAAATTCAATCGGCCTGCAAAGGCGGCTTAGACAGGCGATATCGAACTCAAATCCAAGCACTACCCTTAATACATACTTACAATCGAGAAAAAGGATACAATCTGAATGTTGTGCCGAGTTACTCATCAATTTACTCACTCAAGCTTGGTCCTTGCTGCCTCTTTTCGACATCTCCATCTAGTAAAATTCTTAATGAAATTGGTTCCCACTTGGTCGGCATTTGCTTGACCACTGAATCGAGCAATTCTAAACACTTTGATGCCATGATTTGGTCTTGTTACTCTGGCAAGACAGAATCCATATAATAGAAAGTTAAAAAATTCAGGATACCACACACAGAAGAGCTTCAATTGACCATATTCTTCCTGTCATTTTCTTTGGAACGCACTGATTGAGTGGGGGAGGGGAGATGGGTTGTGGTGCCCTGACATGCAGTCCAAAGAGCAGGGTATAAGATTCAAAAGGGTATGGCACAAGATTTTTTGAAAATGAATGTCAACAAAATTGATGGTAGATGAGGTAGAGGGAATTTTCAGTGGGAGATAAAGAATCAAACCTGCTCAGCTAGATTATTGGGGAAAGAATGTAAAAGGAAAAATCCAGGAAGTTCAATAGAGGATTCCCTCCCAACTGTAAAGAGAATGTACATGGGCCGCTATGCTATGGCACACTTGAGTGGCTTTTTTTGTGCTGAAATATTGCAGTGTTAGTGGAGGACTTTCTGTTGGATCTGGGACCTTAGACCCAAAAAAGTCTAGAGTTTTGCTGGGAAACCTAGTTTTTGAGGGCCTAAATTGCTTGTGAGAGACCCACAGATATTTCCAGGAAGTTGTCCAGTGTATTGAACTTAATATAGTTCACTTTATCACTTTCTCTTATTTTAAGTCATGCATTCTTTTATTTAGCAGTGTGCTCCAGTTGTTCAAAACCTAGTTGATTGTGTATAAGATTCCTCACTTTATTGTATTGGTTCTTTCTTCAATCAACTAAATTGTTTCTGACTAACAACTCACTAACCAACTACATCGTTACTCAGGTTTGTATTTCTTTCTCTTCATCTTAATGTTGTTCAAGATCTTAACCTTCTTTGTTCTCATCTTGTTCAGGTTGGTTCTCATCGTTGCTGTCATCTATAAGTCGTATCCTTAAGATACTAACTTATACATCTCCTCAAAGGTGTGTATTAAAAGAATTGTAATCAGCTAAATTGTTTCTGATTAACAACTCACTAACCAACTAAATTGTTACTCAGGTTGGTTCTCATTGTCGCTGTCATCTATAAGTCGTATCCTTAAGATACTAGCTTACACATCTCCTCAAAGCTTGTTGTTCAATAGGTTATGAGACCAGATTGTGCTTGAATCTGCAAGCTTAACAAACATGAATTTTTGAACACACAATGACGGATAAAACAACTATCAGCCATCTTCCACTTCTTACAAAAGTCAACTTTCAGAACTGGAAGAATGTCATGTTTTCATTCTGTCTCAGACAACAAGTCGATGCCCATCTTCTATCCAATCTTGTTCTTGGCGAGAAAGATGCTGTAACCAAAGCGGCTTTAGAAGATAAGAAAGCAAATGCTGCTGGAATTCTTGGTGGTAATTTAGGCTTAGAAAACTATGCTAAGTTCATTACCGACAAAAACGTCAGGGAACCTCATCTGATCTGGTTGGCTTTACTTCAACACTTTCAATCCAACTCTTCTCAAAATCAAGTGGTCGTTTATCAAGATTTCTTGAAAATCGGTTTCAATTCCACTTTAGAACAATTCATCAAGGACATAGACGTCGGAATATCAAATCTTTGTTTGGTCGGAATCAAGATTGTCAAGTTTGAGAAAAGTACTTTGGATTAAAAAATTCTTGCCAAATATGTGGTCAATCTTTTACCTCAAAGCATGGAAAATTGAAAGGAAATTATCTTCACCAAAGGTCCTCTTGATCTGGATTTGATCAAAGAATATCTGAATTCAAAACAATTGAGTACGACTGGTATTCCATCAAACTCAATTGATTCCTCTCATGTCAAGACAGAATCGGCAATGAAGACGATAATCACATACTGTGAAAATGGACAACACAACAAGTCAGCTCATCATAGTAGAACTAATTGTTATCAGCTTCATCCTGAGAAAGCTCCTGAATCCTACAAGAATCACAAGTCTAACTCTGGGAAGAAGAAAGCCAATGCTGTCACATTGTCGGACAACATCAGTGGTGTATACATTTGCGTCTCCGATGTGGTAAGCCAATCCTGAATCTTCAAGCACATCAAGAGCAAAAAATCACACAAGAATCACAGGATCAAAACCCCTCAGGAATTTCCCAGGCCCTCAAACCAATCCAGACACCAGTCATGAATCCCCTCAAACACAGACCACATGGATAATAATATTTCCCAGCCAGAAACTCCCCACTCCTGAAACTCATCCCCCTCCAAACATATTCCATTCTTCTTACCCCTTGTGTTCCACACTAGTAGTAGTCCCCCTGATCCATGAAACAGTCATTTTCCTCCTATCTCCTTCCATAGAATATTTTTCCCCTTATTTGTTTCATACTAGTAGCCTTGGGAGCATTTTTCCACTGCTTATTTCCCCTGTTTCCTCTGGATAAATATTTTCCCTTGTTTCATACTCTTCATAGAATGTTCCACTTATCTTCCAACCACAAGCTGGCCACTCCCCAGAATTTTGTATATAAGGAGCTTTGTTTTTCCTCTTCATTTTGTTCCTCATCAGATCCTGCCCCAGCAATTCAGATAACTGATCACCCACTATTAGCCAGGTATTTGCCCATCAACATTTGGGATACCTTGATTTGTGAACAAGTATATTTAGACTAGTAAACATAAGACATATTAGACATACCATCCTCAAGAGATCTCCAAAGCCACACCTTTCCTTAAGAGTCCATACTCTTATATTTTCTTGTTATCAGAGAGGCAGCCCATTAATGATTAAAGCATCCATCCCTCTCAAGCTCTATTCCTCCCAAGAGTAGTTCCACACCAATGCTCAAGCCTTCTCAATAGTTCAAAACGCTTTGCTGATTTTCCTTGATAGCTGTTGTTCAGATCACATGTTTCTGGATAAACAAAATTTTGTCGACTATGAATCAATTCAATCTTTGGTCAATGTTGCTAGTGGTCAATCTTTGACTGTTCAAGGAAGAGGTCTTATTACATAACATCAAAAATAATGATGGAATTACTTTTAGTGTCAAAGCTTTGCATGTGCCTAGACTTACGCATTCACTTCTCAGCCTAGCTCGGCTTTCTTTGAACGATTGCAATCTTCTCCAACACAAAAATTCTCACACTCAGTTTTTTGTTCAAGATTCTACTAAAAACGTGAAACTTTTTGATGCTGAAATTTCTAGTAACCTCTATATTTGTAAAGCAAAAACCGTTCAACCTCAAGGTCTATTAAACAAATAGGCGCAGAAGAGTCTTATGACAGACCAACAAGTGTCAACACTACATGAGTTGAGGATGAAGAGAAGACAAAGCCGAGCACACCTTATGAAAGACCAACGAGTGTCAACACTACACAAGTTGAGGATGAAGAGAAGACAAAGCCAAGCACACCTGGTTGTGCAAAGTGAGTTGAGACAGTGAAATGAAACTGAATGAGAAAACAGAAAATGTAGGAAACGGTACAACAGATTGACTACTTAAATAATTTCTCAACTAGGTTTCATTCAGGTTACAACTGTGACTATCACTATACAACCAGTTGCCGAGTATGCTTATACTGAGGTAAACTCAACAAGGTCTGTCTAGTTCATTCTGACTCAGTGCTTCTTCATAAACGGGCTGGTCATCCTAGTTGAGAAGCATTAGCAAAAATGTTTGGAGTCTTTTTTTCAACTCTGGATTGCGTCTCGTGTAGTCTCTCGAAATCACATTGCCTTTGTTTTTCTAGTCATCTTCCCAAACCAAAACGTGTTTTAGATTATGTTTTCATGGATCTCAGTGGAAAAATCACTCCTCAAACACTTGGAAAAGCATCTGATTCTTTCAAGATTACCAACCCTTTCTCGGCTTCCAAACATCTATATATGATTTCTGCCAAAAATCAAGCTCTAGAGAAATTCAAAGAATATTCCAACAAAGCAACTTCTTTTTTTCATTCTAAATCTTTGGTCAATTTGGTTACGGTGTGGTGTGCTGTGCCTGTTCCAATGCCAAAAGCATACAGAATAGGATATAGTGACACACACTTATCATTCATTACAAGAGGAGGAACATTCATTACGTAGGACATACAACAACAGGATAAGGTATACATACGTAGACGTGGTGTGTGCGTGGGTAGGTTATGTAATATGGGTTTATGTATTGCGTAATCAGTGGAAAAGAACATAAGACAGGTGATGAGGAGGGGAGAAGGAAGGTAGGCGGAGAGGCTTTGACCCTGAAGAATGAACAAGGAAGGAAGTAAGCAAGTGTTTCATCTGATGTTTCATCTGTGGCTTCATCTGTTGAGATGAAACACAGAACATTTGGAATGTGGATTTGGTTTCTGAGTAACAGATCTCATAAGACTGTATACTGTACTGGATTACTGCTTTGGAATGTTTCAGCACATGCTACATGGCTTGGTTTCATAGCAACCAATGACATCATGCTGTGCAAGTGTGTGTCACCTGCAGCAAAAATAACTCACAAGGAGTCCCCTGCAGCAGAAATCCCTCACTCTTCAATATAAAAGGAGGGCCTCTCTCCACCAGGATTCTCTTTTCCCCCATCAACCTACAGGAGTAAGTGGGTCACAATTAGTTAGTAGTGTGCGTGTCAGAGAATTAGTTAAGTAAAGTCAGAGATTTATAAGTAGTAGAACCAGAACCATTGAACCATAAAAAAGTGAACTTAAGTAGTATTATTAACAAATAACAAATAACAAGTAGTAGTAGTAGTAGTAACACCAGAGCTCTAGTTGTGATTAAAGTGCCTTAGCAAGAAATTGTTCGAGGAAGAGATCATTAACAAAATCTAAATAACAAATTCAACTGTCTTGCGCTCAACCATAAGCGCCACAGTTTCCATTATTAGCCTGAAGTTGTAACAGATTCATTAGTAGATTGATACGTGATCTAGGTCTGATAGAGATTACTTTACAAAAGTAAGATCAATCTTGGAATCAGCCGCATATTCTTAAATATTGATTACAAGACTCTTAGTTATTTGTTTAGTACAATTAGAGGGGCAGGTCTTTCAAACCACCCGTAAGTTGTAATAGCCTTTTAACCTATTTGCAATTTATTTCCCCCTCAAGGGATCTTTTGATATACATATACTTTACCGTGTCTATCCGTCCCAGGAGTCCTACATCTGGTGTCCCAACAGTGGCCGATTACCTTCATCAAGATCATTCAAATCAATCATATTTTTCTAGTGAATCAACTTCAACATCAAATCAATTGTGGATAACGGGAAGAAGGCATATTTTGGCGGTACTACATAAAACTCAATTGGCAATACAAACAATTTGATTTCAGTGCAAAAATATTTAATTTTCAAGACAAAGGAACTGAATGGCAATACGCAGGATTTAAATGGATAGACAAAGGACTTTATTAACACGTGGTAGGTTTACTTCACAAGATGGGTTGTTTCATTGTAAAGTCAGCAGGTTTTGATTGGTAATTCAGCAGGTTTGATTGGTAAGTCAGCAGGTTTGATTGGTAAGTCAGCAGGTTTGATTGGTAAGTCAGCAGGTTTGATTGGTAAGTCAGCAGGTTTGATTGGTAAATCAGCAGGTTTGATTGGTAAGTCAGCAGGTTTTATTGGTAAGTCAGCAGGTTGGATTGGTAAGTCAGCAGGTTTGATTGGTAAGCCAGCAGGCTTGATTAGAAAACATGCATTTATTTCAAAGACAATAAGAAATATATTCTCTATGGATATAACAATCAATTTACTCAAAAAAAAAAAAAATGAAGGTTTGTGGATATTCATACATTTAGCAAACTTATCTTAGATGTGACTTCAGATACCTGTGGTGGTTCAAAACTATCATATGTTTCTTAGTCCCTATCACCTAATTGTGGGACTCACCAGGAATGCATTTCAGTTCAGAGTTTGCACATCTTCTTCTCTTTTTTTCTCTGCAAATTTCCTCTTGATTTTCAATTAAAAACTTTATTTGTTGAATCATTTGATGCAGGAGTGATCGCGCTGGTTAGAACTTGGAGGCGAAGGCAATATGTGTATAGTGGTGAGGACAACAGTGAAGACGACAGCAAATTCGTTCCTGTGACGATTGGAATGGAAAAATCTTGACAGATTGGCTTGAAATGGCGGCCAGGAAGATGGCAGCAACAACGGCAATGTTCCTCGGACGATTGGGCTTGACAGGTTTTTCTTTCCCTTCTCGGTCTTTTGATGATTTTTGAATGGACGAACTGACCAGCAAAGTCTTGAATATTATCTGAAGAGCAAGTTTCAATCATATAGAACACTTCATCACCCTACAGGGGGATGGAAACTGTTTATTATGAGCTGGCTGTGAGGAAAGAAGTTGATCGCGAAGTGGAGGAGAGCACAGTTATAGCAAACTATGTACATAAATTAGTTTCAAAATAGTAAAAAAAATAATAAGAAAGGAGCTTGGTTGTGATTACAAGAGGAAATGAATGTACACTAGAGGAGAGTTAGGCAGCATCTATGACTTCCTGGGGAATGATTGCGATGTGAAGAAGGTAAAGAATAGTATTGAGGCACAAAGAAGAGTTCAGGCGTTATCAAGCACAATTCAAGCATCTATATAAAGTCATGTTTCTATCTACCATATGTCTAGTGATTTGCTGATAGACCCTTCCTAGCTAGACAAGCTATTCTTGTTTTGTTTTTGTTTGGCACTGACTTTGTTTATAGTCATCAGGAAGAGAGGCCGTCACGATAGAGGAGAGGCCGTCACGATAGAGGACAGAGTAAAAAGTTCGTTTTGGGAGTTTTAGTCATTAGAGGCAGCGGATGCTCGTCGGATTGTTAGGAAAGAGGAAAGGGAAACGAAACGAGGTTGGAAGTGTTAAACCCAGCCGGCGGGTCATAATTAGCATTAGCAGATTGTTGTAAAGGCAAAGGTAGAAGCAGGTTGGTTATCGGTAGTCGTTAGGAGCAGCTTGGGTCGTGGAATCGAATCGGGGGATCGTAATTGGTGTAAATGGATAAGAAGGAGAATAAAAAGTAGCAGCTGACAAGATCAGGCAAGGAGAAAGCTATGTACAAACGGATGACTATAGTCAAAGGAGATTTCAATTAGAAACAGCGACTGGAAAGTTGAACTAGGAACAACGGTTAGGGAATTGTTATATCTCGATGAGAACGAAGAGGCGGCCAATTGATAAGGAAACACGACAGGATGCTAAAAGAAGGAACATTCACCACTCAGGAACCGCAAGACCGACTATTTAAAGAGAA